TAAGGAAGTGTATACTCGGGGAAACATTCATAATTATAATCAGAGATTTATAAAGTTGTTATACATAAATACGCTGCACAGACGCGATGCTCATATTTATGGAAAATTTAAATTGTTCCGCGACCCGGAGCGGAGGGCTTCGCAGCCCAAATTTGGGTCGCGACCCCGTAGTTGCGGACCCCGTAGTTGCGGTCTAGTCACTCTAGCCCACCTTTTCATGCACCCAATTCTGGCAACTTTGTTTGGGTATTTTTGGCCATTGACTCCAATTATATACAGCTTGGCATTATATTTTTCATAAAAGTTTATCTTTACTGTTCACTCCCGTTTATAAAATCGATTAATTCGGCAGTGGCAAACATTATAAATTTATTAATACGGTGTAACTAGTAATTTTTATTCATTCATTCATTTTAACTACCAGTATGTAATTTATCATGTTCTTCCTACCTTATAACCTCTGCATGGTTCTGTGTGTGGGTGCGTGTGAGCGAGTGTGAAATATTTCAACTATTTTAGGTGAGTGAACACGTACCGCTTCTTCTTGGCAAAACCTTCCATCTTATATACATTCTGTACGTTTTAAATCTTATTTAAGGTTTTGTTTGCTCTCTTGATTTCATAATCAGTTTTTATTTATTTATTTTTACCAATCATTTTATTGTTATGCTGATTATGGAGTCGAAATAAACTTACACTTATACTTTTGTACATGCACCAATATTTTGGATGTTCGGAGTCAATCCTTATACGCAATGTAAATCCTTGCTAATTTTCAAACAATCTTGGCATTGAGGGGTTGGGAATTTTCGAATATCTGATGATTTCAGAATCGAATCGAATCTTTTTTAAATCGAATCTCGAAGACTTAGGAGATTGGTAATTGTATGTGACCCTTTATATTGCAATGGGTTCTCCGGACACATAAATTACTAAAAACATAGAATCCATCAGACAGTTCGCGGAATTGTCACAAACAATAAGAAACGTGCTTTCTTCAATAACTCACTATAGGAAAAAATGAGTTTTCTGTCAGTTTGCCTTTTTTTTAAAAATATTATTCCAACAAAAGAATTGAGGGATTCACTTCAGCCTTTGAAAAAAAAAGATGGCGGCGAATCAAAATTTCCTTTTAAACTGATTTATATAATTTACTAATGATAATTGCAGTGGGTTTTTCGGACACATTAATTACTGAAAACATAGAATCCATCAGACAGTTCGCTGAATTGTCACAAACAATAAAAAATGTGTTTATTTCAATAACTCACTATTGGACAAAAGAGTCTTATGCCAGTTTCCTTTTCAAAAAATATCATTTTAACAAAAGAAATGGCGTATTCACCTCGACCTTTGGCGAACGAAAAAGATGAAGGCGATTCAAAATTTCCTCCTAAGACGATTCAAATAATTTACTATTCGATTCGAAATGCCCGGCTCTACTTGGCATTGAAACAGTATATTAGAATTTATAACAAGCCGAATTTCAACGTTCATCCAACAAATGCTGAGTCAGATTTTATTTATTACTTCAAAATTTTGCATCATTCATATTCATGACCACATTTAGGCAGAATGATCATTATTTTTCACAATTTCATTTCAAGAATTATGTAGGATATTATACAGAATAGAAGTGTTGCTGCTCTATATTATAGCATAGTTCGTTGGTTCCCAACCGCCGGTCTGCGAAGCTAAGCTCCTTTGACGCTCCGCGGGAAATTTTAGTTTGTTGTTCTTCTGCCGTAAGACAAGGCTACGTTGGTTTATTACGCAGTTTCTCTTCCGCCGTCAAATTGCTGTTTGATAAGTGCGGTATCAATGGCCCGGCGACGTCTTGACGCCGAGTAATAACACTTTTCGCTTTTTGGGTTTCGATTAATCGCGAAGGCGCTTCGTCAAATCTCGCAAGATTCAGAAACCTGATAATCAACATGTGTGCTTTTTCCACTATGCATGCTTTTCGTGATTAATAATACAATCCAAATAAAAGGTTATGAATATTTTTTTGTTGAAACCAGAAAACTGCTAAGAACAGTATGATATTCCAGAGCTACACCTTGACACCCAGCGAGATGTGAACGTGTGGCGACCCTGCAGGTGGTCACGAGACGCGCAACAAAAGCATGGACCTCTGAGATCTTTTCCGAGGGATGCACAGCAGGACTTTGAGCCTGGTGCCAAGTTAGCAACGACTTTATCATTGTAATATAAATTCATTGCGTTTGGGGCGTCGATCAACTGCAATAGGATTAATATGATGAACCCGATGAAACCTCTATCTTACAGTCCAAATCTATAAAAGAATCTTTGTCACAATTCATCCTTGAGCTCTCTTGATAAGGAATACGAAAAGTGTTCTTTGGTTCCTAAGTTACTTAGCATACCAAGAGAGCGACGATCAAATATATGGTCCCGAAGGCAAAACGAAGTAGTACAGGTATGCAATCTGTCACAGTAGACTACTGGTACCACAGCCTTCACGATCAACGGAAACGCAGAACCGCCACAAGGTGCGCAATTTTTGATGACGTCTCGCGCACAAAAAAACGAATTTCATTGAGCCCACAGAAATCTTTGAAATAAATAAAAGTAATACCCTTCTATCTTCAACCACTGAAAATGTCAAAGCAATTGGTCTAATAGTTAAATGGAAAAGCGAATAAGATGAAAATACTAACAAGAACAACAGCATTAAAAAGCTATCCATGGATCCATTTTGTGTCCAACAAGTGAGCAATGCTCAAGTATAAAGACACAAAGATCGCCGCGGACAAAGACAACAACAATTTAACAAAACAATCCATAAATACATACATCTGGTTCAACAAAAAATGACAGACAAGCGAATTTTGTTTCTGATTTTCCACCAGTGACGCAAATACAGAAACAAGCCAAAAGAAGTAATATAATAGGTGAAGCGTTGAATCTTGGATTATTGGTGAAATGCCATATCATAAGCCAAATAATCCTTTGTTGCGGATCTCCAAAGTTTGAAATGCATTATAAATTTGGCATAATAATGTGTACATAAAGGAAAGATATATCAAATTTATTAAAAAAATATATCATTTGATAAAAATTGCATATTGTTAATTGAAAAAGTCCATCTGTTTAATACTACTCAGTCAAATCAAAAGCATGTAAGACATAAGCAGTTTCTTTAATTCGACGTAGGCATTCGGCTGTTAGTTGTAAAAATTATTGTACTTGCTGTCTATACTCGCGAGCACATCGAAATTAAGGTTATGGATCAGTGAATGACTTTGACATCGTATTACTGCGTGGGCGACGCGGATGGTAATAAAGCACGATATAAATACACGTTTCTTTAAACACGCCCGAATTCCTTTCTTTGAAAATCTCAATAGAGCACATATATCTTATTTCCATTTCCAAAATGATTGAGCATTTGTGTGCAATTTACAATTTGGTAATAGACTGCTTATCTGCCATTCAGCCAAGAAACATACATGATTTGTTCACATGATAATGATGCTATTGTATAAATGTACGTTATTCTTCCTGTGCTCAATTTCAGTAGACCTCTATTGTATGACGAAGAGACGTCTGGTAGCATGCGTAATCATAAACAATACAAACCAAATAGGTAAAAAAATATAAATGTTCAAGATGACAGTAATCTTTTAGCCCAGTAAAATATGGGTTTTATATGAACGCTCCGCTCCCTAGGTAGGTATTGCATAAAAGACAAGGCCGTAAAATTTAAAAGCATCGTAAAAAGAAAATTAATATATAAAATATATAATATGTAAGTACCATTGTGAATATCATAAAAGTTATTCCAAATATTTGATCAATTTTACCGAATCGTTACTAAATTTCAAAACAACTTGAAAAGCGCATTTTTTGGTGGGCTTTGGAGTAGTTTGAGGAGCTGGATGCTAATTTTTTACTTCACAAAGTTCACCACCGATTATTTCTTTTCTTTTCTGCTATCTCTGTAGCTACCTAATTTATATTGTTATCACCAAATCATTCCGTATAAGACAGATTAAATCAAATCTGTCACCTTTATATTTTATAACACATACAAGAATATTCGAATTGAAATATCTTTCAAGCTTAAATCTTGCTTGATGAGCCTATTCCACACCTAATTTATGCGTACAGGTGCAAAATATTGATATGATACTAAAACCATTGTGACGATTGCCGCGCAGCGACATACATTCAATGTTTTTATTAAAGTCGTTCGATACACATACAGGTGAAACATGTAAAGTCCATACGATCTCTGGATATTGTTTGATCGTGCAAAACGTATCGTATTTTATATAGTTTCATACTTTATCAAACGTGATCCTAGTCTATTCTGCATACTTCCGTCTCTGAAAAAGGAAGTGGACCGTGAATCGGTATACGTTTTGTTGTCTGGATATAAAGCCGACTGTAGGTGTGGCAGTTATTCCATTTCAACAGGATAGATCCGCGTGCTTCATTCTGTATGAGGTAGATTGTACTGCTACGCATTCGAGTATGAAGAGAAAAATTACAAGAATATTTTGTTCTATGAAATACCTATTATGTTGGACTCGGTTGATACATAAAATCAGAAGAATTCATATAGTATTTCTAAGCGTTACCAAAATGAAAAATTCACCGAAAAAAGATTGACAATGGCCTAAAAGGACAATCGCATACCGCAATAAATAATATCTACCCTTTCTTATACTATTTCTATGTTTTCGTTGTTAAGTCGCGCTTCGCATGTTTGCCTGCCATTTATAACATCAAGTTGAAGAGAAATTGAATCAAAATTACGATAGTATTTTGAGCAAATTTTCACGATTTAATTTTGGCATAAAACGGCCTGACCGTCCAGTTATCAAAGTTGACTGAATTATGAATTTGTTATAGACGAAACATATTCATTCAAACTCAATTTATCTGTGGATTATGATTAACTGCCTATTATTTTATAATATCTTCAACGTCATTTCATCTGAAAGTGCAATCGAGTGAAAATAAAATATACATTGGTTGAACAGGTACAACTAGTTACAAATCCGATACATTTAGTTGAACTTTCTATCAAAATACCTACTGCCTTGAAATGTCTTACGGATCACCATCTTATGGAGGTAAGTAAATAGCCTTCTCTTTTTATTCAAACTATTTGATTCCGTGAAAAGAAACTAAGCATTTCTTGCTAAAAAGTGGAAATAGAGAGTACTGTATGTTGATTATTCGAGAATCACGTATATATATGTCGAGCGCACATGTTAGCGAATAATTTTCTGCGCCGAATAGAAATTCATTTTTTTTTATTCTAACTAATGCCTAATCAAGATTTGCTTCTGTTTTCAGCGGGTTATGGAGGCTCTGGCGGCTACGGAGGTTCTGGGGGTATTCCTCCTCCACCTCCCCCTCCAGGTCCCCCTTCGAAAAAGTATCCAGGAGTGTCTTATTTCAAGGCCCCAGGTATCGAAAATCTTACCTATTTATATTTTCTTTCATACTTATGTAATATTAACAAAATGCCTCACAGGGCGTGATCTAACTGTGCGAAAGAATATTCGATATAACCGGCCCCTAAACACACAATAGTTTTTTAACAATTTAGATTTCAATAGAATGAATAAATTTCATTTTGGTTCACAAAAAGTAGGAGCTTATATACTTAGACATAGTTGTTGACTTAAATCCTCACCTAAACACGGCATTGAGGAGAACTGACTTTGGTAATTTTCGTCGAGTTTTCTGGACTCATATGCACTGTAAAGTCAGGCAGTTGACATGAATTGACCATTTTTTTCCAGAACCTCCCGCCGACCCATTGAGTGGTAGTTACGTGGGTCAGGCAAAGCAGCCAATTTATTGCGACTTAGAAGTGGATCTGGATCAAATTCGAAAGTATTGTCCAGTACTGAACGTCGTCAGTGGAACGGTTCTTGACCAGGAGAAATCGCAAACACTTTGGTGCAAACATTATTCTTGTTATATGTTTATAATGCTATAAATTTGACATACGCCCAAATGGTCTTTTAGTTAGCACTAAAATGCTTAAAAATTTCGTTTTTCCGCACGTGGCTTTAAAGGAATTCCACGGGAATCATGTTATGTCACCATATATACATATAACATTTGGCAATGATGTTCTTTTTTCTTATGTTAAAAAATGCATCGCGTGGCAGAGGAAAGCGTCGGCCTTGTCGGTTGCACCCAAATCCTTATTTGGTTTCAAATTCGAACAGGAGTCAGAAATCAGTCACGCTCAACTGGATGACTTTGCGTTGGAGACAATAGACTTCTTTTTCCACTCGCCCTGATTAATAACTTGGCAGTGACGGGTCTATTTTACATTATTTGTTATACGGTTACATTTTCATCCAATTAATCATTATTTTTATCCTAGCAATTATTATGAACAAATCTCTACAAACGATATTTCATGTATGTAGGGGGCAAAAAGTTTTAAACCACACCAAATACTTTCTAGTTCGGTTTAGTCTAACCAAAACGTTTCCGCATATTTCAGTAAATCTATTATAAATATATTTATGAAGTATAAGCATTGCATTGTCACATTGAATTTTTCAGGTCCGGGGACGCCACCGCTGCCCATTTTCGTAGCGAAAATGACGTGAAGGTGACAGGCTCCGGTGGAAAGTATGATGCAAAGTCTACCGTGACTGTAACTTTGAGCACTGGACGAATGCTCTCAGGAGAATTCACGGGAACCTTTGAGAAAGTTCAAAGAGACTGGACAGGAAAAATCAAGCTTAATTTCGGAAAAACATGGGTCGAATTCATCATGAAGCGAACGAATAAGGTAAAATTTATTGCGAAACATTTAGTGGCATCCGCCTGGAAAATCACTTCATAGGAAATATTGTATATATATTACATTTTGTAAACGATTTCAACATACTTATATATATATGCGCAAATGAATTTCTTTTGCGCCCACTTATGTTCCTTTGATTTCATATTCAAGTATTTCATAATATTACAAAATTTTAAATAAATCAGTACTGTGAAAGGTTAAACGCAGCCTAATTTTTCGCAACGCTAATGTAGTTCCAATTGGTTCAGTCACCAACGCTAATTGAGTTAATTTCCGGGTTGGTTACACCTGAACGCACTCACAATAAATAACTTCCTCCTGAATAACATTACTTCCGTGCACAATGTTATTTGTGATTATTTTTTGTCTGCAATCTTTAAAAATCTTGACAATTTTACGTCGAAAAATATGAATTGAACGCAAACAATCAATGGTAACTCGTGGCCAAGAACACGCACATCTAGCAATATGCGTAAGATATATATACGATACAGAACTACTTTGTGGTGACAGTCGATAGAAAGAATACAGTTTTGCATTGCATTTGATAAACATATGACCTATACGTTTATTTATATTTAAATAATATATGTACCATATACAGTTGTTGCAGTCATTCTCTGTTATCTTTATGCGTTGTCGATTTCCTCTCTTTTTTATCATTTCATTCATACCGGCGTCGTGCCGCTCGCATTGATGAGTCAAGTTAACAAAACATTCATAGTATGCTAATTGAGCTGGGAATGGTTAACCGGTTAACCAATTTTAGATTGTTAACGGTTACGATTTATTTTAACCGTTAACTGACATCTCATGCACAAACCATCGTTATGATGTACAATTTTTTTGAAAATGATTACGCCATCGCAAATGTATCTCCTGTGGCGTTCAATTCAAAAGGATATCACTAACTGTATCGGTAAGGACCCAATAAATGTGAAAAACATTTGAAGTACCAAGATTGCTGATTTTGAATTTGACAATGATAAATTCAGTTTTCGGTGGAAATATATTGTTTTATTGCAAAATCGTATATCAACGTCATCCAACAAGTGCGCAGTTAATGCTGATTTTGAACACGTCTGTGTACATAACGATCGTTTCAATATTATATTGTTGTTCTTGTTGGTCACCATAAAATCGCTTTTTTCCTTAAATACTGGACCAATTGCTTTGAAATTTTCAGGGGTTAAAGATTGATTTTTGAACCAGAAGGCTTTTACTTTTACTTATTTCAAAAATTCCTGTGGACTTCCAGAGATTCGTTTTTTGTGTGTCAGAATAAAAAAGAGCGACACCTTGTGACGTGCCCCTATATTTGAGCGTAGGTCTTTGGTCTTTATGATATCTCAGAGTAGAATTTGCACGTCGAACACTGAAAATTTGTCACATAAATGACATTTGATAACGAATTCGGTTTTTACTAAAATACCTCCATATGTCCAAAGCACGCTGCATATCTCTTGCATCAGAGCGATCATTCCATTCGTGAATAATTTTGAGCAATACCGGGATAAGATCACCAGAAATTGCTTTGTAACCATTGTGACGTAACAAGCATTTTTTTTAACGTCAAACGTCTAACCGGTTAATTTTACCCGTTTTTTTTCGTTCTATCATTTTTCAATATAGTTACAAGAGTTAAATCTTATTTATAAGAAATTGATATTAAATTTGGTTAATACTTATACTTTCAAGTTCGATTGATTTTCTGCTCTTGATCTTGCTGTCGCCATAAGTAATGTTAGCAATTACAATTTACTTTTATTCGAAGTCATTCAATATATTTCCCGAAACTATAGCTCTTTCGGGAAGTTCACTTGGATATTGACTACTTTATTGACGAAGTAGTATGGCCGTCAGTTACCATGTCACATTTCGTGGCCAAGAACACGCACATCTAGCAATATGCGTAAGATATATGCACGATACGGAACTACTTTGTGATGACAGTCGATAGAAAAAATGCAGTTTTGCATTGCATTTGATAAACATATGACCTATACATTTTTTTGTATTAAAATAATATATATACCATATACAGTTGTTGCAGTCATTCAATGTTATCTTTATGCGTGGTCGATTTCCTCTCTTTGTTATCATTTTATTCATACCGGCGTCGTACCGCTCGCATTGATGAGTCAAGTTAAAGAGTTCTGCTAGATTTTGCAACAAAACATTCATAGTATGCTAATTGGGCTGGGAATGGTTACCCGGTTAACCAATTTTAGATGGTTATCGGTTACGATTTATTTGAACCGTTAACTGACATCTCATGCACAAACCATCGTTATGATGTACAATTTCTTTGAAAATGATTACGCCATCGCAAATTTATCTCCTGTGGCGTTCAATTCAAAAGGATATCATCACTAACTGTATCGGTAAGGATCCAATAAATGTGAAAAATATTCAAAGTATCAAGATTGCTGATTTTGAAAATTTGACAATAGTAAATTCAGTTTTCGGTCGGAATATATTGTTTTATTGCAAAATCGTATATCAACGTCATCCAACAAGTGCGCAGTTAATGCTGATTTTGGACACGTCTGTGTACATAACGATCGTTTCAATATTATGTTGTTGTTCTTGTTGGTATTATTTATCTTCGTCACCATAAAATCGCTTTTCATCTTCGAATACTGGACTAATTGCTTTGAAATATTCAGGGGTTAAAGATTGATTTTTTCACCAGAAGGCTTTTACTTTTACTTATTTCAAAAATTTCTGTGGACTTCCAGAGATTCGTTTTTTGTGTGTCAGAATAGAAAAGAGCGACACCTTGTGACGTGTCCATATATTTGAGCGTAGCTCTCTTGTTCTTTATGATATCTCAGAGTAGAATTTGCTTGTCGAACATTGAAAATTTGTCACATAAATGACATTTGATAACGGATTCGGTTTTTACTAAAATACTTCCATACGTCCAAAGCACGCTGCATATCTCTTGCAGAAGAGCGATCATGAAACTATCTCCATTCGTGAATAATTTTGAGCGATACCGGGATAAGATCACCCGAAATTCCATTGTGAGGTAACAAGCAAAAATTATTACGTCAAACGTCACGCTGTTAATTTTACCGTTTTTTTCGTTCTATCATTTTTTAATATAGTTACAAGAGTTAAATCTTATTTATAAGAAATTGATATTAACTTGGTTAATACTTATACTTTTAAGTTCGATTGATTTTCTGCTCCTGATTTTTGCTGTCGCCATAAGTAATGTTAGCAATTACAATTTACTTTTATTCGAAGCCATTTATTATATTTCCTGAAACTATAGCTCTTTCGGGAAGTTCACTTGGATATTGACTACTCTATTGACGAAGTAGTATGGCCGTCAGTTACCATGTCACATTTGGATACCTTTCCCAAAGGTATGAAGAGAAGAACTTTGAGTCTCTATTCCGCATTTGAGGACGCCGGCATAGAGCTTCACTACGCAGCTGGGAACGGACAAAAGGTTCGAAAAATTTTACAAATATTTCCCATTCTGATATATATCGAAGGAAATTATCTTTCTTAAATCAAGAAATAGCCGTAAGTTACGACAATGTAATCTATATCAATGCATATGATGTTGTTTCGTTTAAAGCTAGATGAGGTTTATAGACGCTTCCAGAACCCTTACATCTTTAAACCGGCTATTTTGTCCCAGAATCTTTGAGCAACTGCCCCAGAATGTTTGCTTTATAGGCAACTACCCCGGAAACCTATTTCAGCTAATTTAGAAAAATGTCCGAGCGTCATCTCACGTTTCAATTGTTACGTCAATTTTGACTTCCTGCTGATTAGCCTATGTCACGGAAATGAACAAGGAAGTCGAAGCTCGAGAAAACATTCATAGCATTCAGTGCTTGTACCCTAAAAAATCAGTTGTGATTATCGAAGTCAATCAACATATTTTTTCGGCGCTCCCATAGTTTTCGTACCAAGATGGCGCAAAACCTTCTAACCCTAACCTGGTACACATACTATGTTCAGTTTGTGCGCCATCTTGGTACAAATACTACGGGAGCACCTTTTTTTTCTATTGGACATGAAGTATACATATGGATCGTTTTGTTATTATGTTCTTGGTTTTTTGGTAAATTTATTCTTATTGTTGTAAAAAAATTGCGTTAGTCGTGAAGATAACCGTACCAGTAGTCGATTGTGACAGATTGCACATCCGTACTACCTTGTTTTGGCATCCGCGTCCTTATATTTGAGCATCGCTCTCTGTATTTTATCAGGTTGAGGATCCGACTCCCGATTCCGGGTGGACAAAGAGTGATTTGTATCTTTTAATGGGGGAGAAGTTTAATCAGAAGGAAGATGCTGACACCAATATTTGGTGCATGATGGGGAAGAAGCCTCCAAACAAACGTGACGTCGGTTACTCATTTGATCGAAATGGAAAAACCGGATTTGGAATATTCTTGGGGTAAAGAGCAACTTAAATTATAAGTTTAATTTTATTAACTATCTTATTTTGTTTTTGGTATATTATGTGGACGAAAATACAAACAAACAGCCACATGTGTATGCCCTATGGCCTATGGTATATTAATTATATGCTGAGTGAAGTTTTATCATGATAACAAGAGATCCATGCTAAAATATATCGACACGAAGATCAAAACGAAGTAGGATCAAATCTTACAGTACCAGTAATCTGACTGCGAAATTGCTTAAATCAATTTTGATGACGTCACCACACAAAAATTAAAAACGAATTCGACAAAGCCAAATTTGAAAAAAAAATAAATCAAATTATTAGGTTTCTAGCGACATCAACAATCAATCACTGAAAATTTATAAAAAATTGGTCTAATATTTTACGAGAAATGCGATCTTTTTGACAACAAGAAGAAACAATGTGTGCTTGTGATGATTAAAGTGTGGCTTTCAAATCCTGTTACTGTCTAATATTCATGCAAAGATGGAAAATACATGTTTTTGATTAAATGCAACCTAAAAGCTCGGGATTATAAAAATCTGGGTTTTTACATTGGAATTTTGTACACATGCAATATTCAAATCACACACACTATTCTAATTGGAACCGAACATACATCGGAAAGGTTATTGTCTCCCCTAACGATTGATTTTACCTGGCACTCTCATTCTATGGGTTCATGAACCCACAATTTTTATTTTATTTGTTAGAATCTTCTCGTGATATAAAATAACCAATTGACGAAACCCCCATTCAATAATATTATATATACAGTTTATTTCTTCGTTATTTAGCATCGGTTTTTCGCAAATATATCCTTATTTGCCCCATTACTTCCAAATTCACGAAATCAACATCCTGTATGCCGCAAATCGTAAATAGTATTTGTGTTCCATATTTTTTGTGAATGTTTTAGAAACCGATAAAAATAATTTTACCACTATTTCAGAATTGAACAAGTGCTTATCCTTGCGAAATATTAACGCTGAACTTAAGGCTAACAATCCAACAATATAAGCATATATATATTACTTTTTTTAGACATCCTGCTTTCGAAGGATATGATTCGAAGGATGGTCGAATAAAGAACAAAGCTGAGCGTTGTTTGCTGCATTATCTTGTGCATGAAATCGGTCTCGCTCTCGGACTTGGTCATTCATACGAACGAGGTAGGCTAATTGCGAACAAGGCCATTTTGCCTAGATTGACGTTAATTTTGATACCACTTTACTACTGCAAACGTCAACATTAAGAGCTTCTGTTTTGAAATTTCATTGTGATTGCGAAACACTACAAATGAGTCTCACTGTATTTGGGCTAGAAAGCATTTTTGCAACAGGTTCGGTTTTCTGGCCGTGTTAGATTTCTGATTTATTCAAAATAATACGTGTTGATTTTTATGAAACAGACAACAGTAAACTTTAAAGTTTGGACATGAATGATTTATGCAAAAAATTAACTATTTGCTCAGGTGAAGAGGATTCTCTTTCTTGGATGAATTATGACTGGAAATATGACAATAAATACAAAAAGGCGGGTGCGTTTTACAAAAACTTTCAATATCGGTTCAGCGAAAAGGAATTGATGATCATTAGACATGGTCCAGGAAAGGTGAATGTTTAATTTCTGCTAGATTTCTGTTTTTTTAATGTTTACCTGTTTCCGAAGCTCGACAAACTAAAACATGTACACTCAGATAGTCAGGAATGTATTGTTTTACCTCACAGTATTTCAAGAAAGAAGCTTCTCCCTACACAATGAGAAAAACCGTAGAATATCCTTACGGAGATTCTTCATATGCCCCGGATAACAAACAGGCTGATGACTCTGATGATAGCGAGGATGAATTGGAAGGAGGATATGGAGGCGGGTATAAGAAATCTTATGGCGCCAAAAAACCAAGACTTCAGAAACCAAATCGGAAGTTGGAATTGAAATTGAATATGAGGAGCAATACTTACACCAAGGTTTTTATTACTTACTTTAAACCAGTGGTTCTTCACTTTTTGTTATTTTTACAAAGTCAGTTACTAGATTTATTCCTAATGTACTAATCGGTGCTCATTCATTGAAAAATAACAAGGGATTACTGTAAAGGCTGCTTTTGTTTAATGGTTACTAGCTGTTCAATTTATAGCGGAGTAGTAGATAATGCACAACGAATATTAGATTCAGGGTCAAGTTGAATTCGTGCTGTAAATTTGATTGTTGTATTGCTTTTACTTTGGATATATTTACCTCTAAAAACAAAAAATTAACCCATGGGCGAATTTATTCTGCACTGAGAAAAGCTGCCTGAAGCATTTAATTTAGAAACAATTTTCCAATCCTTATGCAATAGATCTATCGAAATCGAAATGTGCGATCGAAAATCACAGATTTTCGTCAAAACAGATTTCTTTATCAACTTGCATTTTATATATTATATATGTTTGAACCTCAGGGAAATTTGGTCGATTACGAAGTAAAAGTCAAAAATGTTGGAAAACTGGCCGCAATGATTGATGGTGATCTTTCTGTGGCAGGTGGAAATGTACAATTGTACGTGACAGGACCGACAGGCGTAGAAGAGGTTTAATATATGCTTTCTTATGCATTGTTTTATTGTAGCCTGTCGAGCCGTTAACCACTGTAATTGTGTATTAAAAATTCTATGTTTTTATAAATATCAGAAGATATGACAAAGACTTTTATTTTATCGCCACTTTCACGAAATTCGTTTCAAAAACATAGGGAGTTCATCTCAATTTTATAACTCTAACTCGACATCAATGTGGATTAAAAATGAAGTTATATTAGTCAAAATAGCGCGATTAGTCAATAGTTTCTATGTAGGTTTTATTTTTTGAAGTTTTCAATTATAAAAAAATGATAATATCACAGGTGGTTGACCCGTACGTTAGACCAATCAAATCGTCGTACACTAAACCGCGTGTCTTGTATACCGCCGAAGACGACGAGGGAGCGGATCGTCTGAGCGACTATGGTTCGGTCGGCGCTAGCAAACATGGATATATCTTTGATAAAGTTGGCACATACACTGTCCGGGCAAAATACGCGGCTGGAAGATACAACGTAACCTCAGGTATTCTAAAGGAGTTAAAATAGACTGGAAACTAGGTGGTTATGGATCATGGGGTCCTAAGATGCAAATGTCAGATTGATTAAACGCGAATGAAATGTAAATCTAACCAGCAAAAATAAATCTCATCTGTAACAGGAAAGCAATGCTCACATACATGGAAACAAAAGTCAAAACGAATTAGTAGTCTCACTTATCGAAAAACTCCCGACTTCGCTGACTACCAGATCGCTGAAATTCGCCACATGGAACAAAATTTTCAATTTTGATGACGTCATCACACGAAAATTCAAATGATAAACAAATACCATAGACCCTACAGAAATTTTATACTTTCTAGCGACAACAACAATCATAAAACACCAAAAATTTTAAACCAATTAATTTAGTAGTTGAAGAGAAAAGCGATTCAACACAACAACAACAATTTAACGATCCACAGGCATTTCGTGTCCAAAAAACCTTTTTGATTCAGCGATTGATTTTCAAGTGTCAAATTAAACAAATTCAATTTCCTCGTTTTAATATGTTCATTAAATTACAGATTCCTATTCGTTTGAAATAAAGGAACCCGAACTTGATGACACGGAGGAAAAAGAAACTATGGCCGAGGTCAGTAAAAAAAAAAATAGATCAGAATCTATGTAATAAACAAAAGCAAGTAAGTTTATTTTGAGAAACATTAGATAGAATGTAACAGCATTGTCATACAATGTTTGAGACTTTTCTATCAAAACACTTCTTCAAAGCACTGTCAAATTAATATCTAATTTTAACAGGTAACAGAAATGGCTGAACTGGGAGGTTCTACTTATGGGGGCTTCAAAAAAGCCAAGAAATACTTCGAGAATCTTTCCAAACAACCCACGGAGAAAAAAGTTAGCCAAGTGACATCCCTGATTGCCCTCTTTGAAGGAATGAGTGAACCCCAAGTCAGCTACGAGGGAAAACCAGAAGAGGGTGGAAAACTGGTGATAAAAGAGCCTGCGAGATCATCTGCTTATTTGCTTAAAGATACTTCTGATGTTGTCGGATATTACCACAGCCAGGTATTACTAACTAATTAACGCAGAATTTGACACTTTATCTTAACTTTGATGTTGCTGATGAAATTATAAAAAATCCCAATGAGCTGGATTCTGGGACTTTGCCTATTTTGACCTCTAAGCAAGTTTACCAAAACTCTGCTAGTCGTTGGTATAGGGAATTTTGGTTTCGTTTAGCTCATCTCTTTATATGTAAATTGAAACTATTACTATTTATGGCAATATTCATAGTTCATTCAAGTTTTTTCTGTTTTTGTCTACATATGTAGGGTGGCAAGAACGACAATCAAGTGTACGCGAAACTTGTCATGGCTCGTGCTTCTCTGTATCTTAAAGAAAAAAAGATTAAAGAGGCAGATGCCGAAGTAAATCAGCTGTATGGAGATCTTATAGATCGTGGTGTTAAATATGATGTGCTGAAGGACATTGCTAAAAATTGGAAAAAGAAAGCTTTGGGCAGTAAGTGAATTTGTCCAATATATCATTGCCAAATTTTTATATTCATGGAAAGTTTTATATTCTATATGGTTACACGGTAATTTTATTCAACAGTACGTATTTCAAGTACTAGTTTCTAAATAACGAGAGTATCCCTTCCTATAGGCCACTTACTGCATGCGTATCCTATTTTGTACTATGAGCAATATAAAAAGATGTTTCATCCAGTACCTTCGTCATACGATGGGCCACATAACTTATGGCCGAGTACGACATTCTCATCCAATCATGTCCAAGAAAAAGATTAAAATGCTGTGACAACTTCCGGTTAGTAGTTGGTGAATTTTACACCAGCAGTGATTAGCAACGTTACTCATTACTATTCCAATTTTTAGAGCCTGAAGAAGAGAGAAAAACTCCAGACTATTACCAGACAAAAGTAGAAAAAGTGCTTGATTGGAAACCACCAAAGAAAGAATATGGGGCAAATGATATCACTGGTTTGGGAATTGGAACGTAAGTAATATACGTGAATTAATTACAATGAAAATATTCAAAACCTGGAATTTATACTCAATATATACTGAGTATTAAAATTCATCAACTATATTTTAGACCATTCAGCGACTTTAATGACCAACACAAAGCAAAAACTGAGGTGGTGTACAAGATGCTATTGAACAAGTACGATGAGACCAAAAGTGTTCCAGCTGTTATGAAATACGCAAACTCTTTGCAACAAGGTCGAGAAGTAAATGCGGATGCTCTTAAATATTCTGTTCGGGGATTCATCTTACATACCAAGGATGTGAAAAAAGTAGGAGTCAGGTCGGTAAATAAGGCGAAATCATGGTTTGACACTCCTATGTATTTGCATTCAGGGATAAACAGCATTTGTACTACTGCAGAGTTATGTCTATCGCCAACCAAGTTGTATTGCACAGGCTGTTTAGTCAGTCATTCTTAGGATATGTACATATTAAGAGTTTATCCCTCAACTAAATATATATATAAAAAAACAACAGCAAGTGAGTGATGCCAAAGCGATTTGGTATAGGTAGGCAATCTGTCACAATAGACTACCGGTACCGCAATTTTCAAGACTTCCCCTGAATACTAACGCGAAGGCAGAACCGCCACAAGGTGCAAAATTTTTAATTTTGATGACGTCATTTTACACAAAAAACAAATCCCATAGAGCCCACAGAATTTTTTGAAATAAATAAAAATAATAGCCTTCTGGCAAAGATACAATCTTTCGCCATTGAAAATTTCGGCCAAGTAGCTAAAGCAAAATGCAATATTTTACCACTACAACAATAACAACAAGAATTTCAACAACATCAGAATAATACCAAAACGATATTTAAGTCCATTTTGTGTCCAAACGTGATACATGTTGGGGATGATAAATACCCACCTAACATTGTAACAAGGTTTTCGTCACCAATCAGAGGCAGCACCACCCAACATACATCCGCATAAAGAAAAAAGAGATATAGTATACGACGTTACGCTATAAACAATATATTAAATAAGTAAATTTAGTATACTGGACAAATCGGAATGCCATATAAATCGACTTGGAGATTTTCATTGTTGTAGTTAGCGACTAAATGGCGTGCGAATGGGTTTCCGTTGCGGTAACCGCCGAGTAGTTCTTGGAAAAATAAATAGACCGTGAAGTACGTGACTGCAAGACTGTAATTCCATAGTTGGGTCTATTCAGGCCCATACCGTAAAAACAATGAGGCACAGAACACACTTCTGTAGCACATTACGACAGGTTGTCCCATATTTACTTCAATTTCACGGTAATGCATTAGGAGATCAGCACATTCTGAACTGGAACGATAAAGTAAATTGATGAGTCTGTTTATTAATATGATTATATATACAGTGAATGGAGTTTTGAGCCAACGTCCGTCTTCCGAGCGTATTCGTAAACAAAACATATATATATATATATATAAATTTTGAATTAACTTGGATTATTCTCCAATTTTGGATTTATAACTAGGAAAGGTTTTTATCATGCGCATTCGCGCAGTATTCATATTAAAATTTATTGTATAGCCAAATATGAGTGCAATTTAAGATTTTTTACTTTTTAGGCAACAGCCAACAAGAAAACAATCACCCTGTTCACTTTACTTCTGCATTCACTCTGAAAAATAATTTTACTTAACTTTCAGATATCCGGATCCTAAAAAAGAAGAACCTCCCAAATATGATGTACCACAAAGATTTTTCAGATCTGGTGAACCAAAAGAACTCTGGATGGATTATTGGAGAAATGATGCCGAACTGAACAATCACCACCAGTACTTTATTTATGTTATAAAACAAAACAATTATACTGTAAATTCAATTATATTCATATATACTCCACGCTTTTTCAATGTATCTAGAATATTATGAAAATGAGCAATATGTCATATATATATTATATACATCCAATGAGAATCAAGTTGCGCAGCTCGAAGGCTGACATAAGCTCATACTGGTTTGAATCCAATGAGAGATGACTTTTAGTCGTTGCAGGGTGGTTCGTATCCTCTGGGCCCTATTATCCAATTACGTGTATCTTGAACAATTAGGCTAAATTATGAAATAACTATTTCACGCCAGATCGGAATTGTTAATATCCTATAAAACTTAATTATAGTAGAATATAGCTCATATCAAATTTCTGGTATGTCTAGTTTTGTTTAACCACTGCTAAAAATTATTATACGAAACTGGTATTAATGAAATGGTCATTTTACTCCTAGATATTGGCACGATACGTACAATTACTACAACCAAGGGCCGCATCTTAAAAGACGGGGAGAATTATTTGGATACATGCATTGTCAGATGTTGGCACGTTATGACGCTGAACGTGAAAGTTGGGGAATGGAAAGTGTGCAGGTGCTTAATTAAAAAATCTTATCAATGATACTAAGAATATTTTTATCGATCATCGTACAAAAAGTTCTTCTCGAATACTATAATTTCTAATACTACATTACATTATTTTTGTATTGGTGGTTTTTGACTGGTGGTCCACGTGTAGGATCGACTTTTAGGCTATTATAAAAGAAAAAATCATGATCGATATTTCTTGGTGTAAGGAGCGTTCGGCTTATTTGAAACAAGTCGACTTCTAAATTTGAACGCGATGTAAAACCAAAAATATAATCCATGTATACGATCAATTTATTGTATTTTTTTTTGAAGCCGTATGATTTGGATGAAAAACCGGGTTCATACGACGCGGGCGCTACATTTGAATTGGAAACCGGCTATTCAGACAGAATTAGCAAAAAAATGTCCGAGGTTGACCGAAAGGATGTCAAATCATGGGTGGAAAACTATATGAAAGTGATTGAAAATAGAGAAGAATAGTGAGTTTGACTTAACAAACATTTTTACATTTCTTCAATAGGTTAGTACCGTGGTTCTCAAAATGGGCGTCTTCAATTTTGCTAGGGTGTCGCAAAACTCTTTCTCTTTTGCGAAATTGTACCTGTTTGCGCTGCGTGAAAAATTATACTGTACAATAAATTCTGAAAAAAGATTCGCAGGTAGTTTTTGGATTCCTTTGGATAAAGATTATTATTCCTTGGTTAAATAATCGTTGCACACTCTCACCCCCTTTGCGACTTCGTATGTATGTGAAGCAGGCTTTTCTACCATGTTTGTAATCTAGACGAAATAGCAAATGTTGAAAAGTGAATGCTCGCGCTCTCTCACAATTCACCCACATTATTCAAAGACATTTGTAAATAAAAGTACACCCATTTCACTGACTTTCGTCATGTTTTGTAAGATCGTTTAAAAAAACTTGTGTTTGAAAAAGTTTTGTTTGATTCCGATGACAATGGCATTCAATAATCTAAAAATTTATGACATCGTAATATGAAGTCATAATGTCTTTTCATATCTTCACGAAATACATGACTACAGTTATGTTGTATACAGTCATAGGCAATATACGGTTACCAATTAAAAACTGGGTTTATGAAAAAAATGAGAAAACGATTTGATTACTTTCTCGGGTGGAACTTTTTACAGTGAATCCGCCACATTAGAAATAAGACTTAATCTTTGTGGCATCCCAAAAATGCAAGCGAGAGATTATACATTGTATTGTCAAATCTTAGTTGCCAATTGCCAACGTTTGTCAATTTCATTTCGTACGCGCACCACGAAAAATATGGCTCAGATGCACATCTTCAGTACGCTATTGCATCAGGACGAAACGCAAAAAAAAATTTATTCACTGATTTTTGTTCATGTTCTCAGAAAAAAGCAATGTTTTTTTCCATATTTCCTATTTATTTCTATTTATACCTTTCTCAGCGAAACCGAAGACGTAGAATTCGATGGCAACTGGGCCGGGTCAGTCTTGGAAAGCTACAATTATGAGGAAACGAATAAACATGATCTTGGAAACATACATAACTTTGGCCATATGAAACTCAGTCAAATGAACGATGAAAATGAGGTAAATTTTAGTTTGAGCTGGATTCATAACTGCAATATATTTGTGTAAACATCAAATGATTATTGATTGTTTCCTATTGTTTAACATTATGATGGCTTCGGAGTGGTGAGTAGGGATAGTGTGTAAAAAAATTATAGGTTCAAAGTTTTTAATCGAGCTCGCGAACCCGAATTCTACAATCGTCAATTCACCGGTGTTCTTTGCGTCATCACTCTCAGTTTGGACCATTCTGTTTATTTCTGGTATTTTGTTTTGTTGTGAAACATCATGTTAGTATTTCTTTTCTTCTTCTTGTTTGATTTTAGATAATTGCATTTATTGTACGTTTATCATCATCAAATTTCATTTGCCGAAACTAGGTCATTGTTTACAAAATAAATCAATCGTAAATTTATATTCATTCCTATAGGTGGGTGGCAGTTACATGGGAAGTACTGTGTGCGCAATACGTGATTATATATTTTATCGATGGCATAAATTTGTCGATAATCTGTGGCAACTCAACAACGACTACATGCACGCAAACTTGGAGGAAACTAAAGCTCCAATCATTATTACCAAAGAAGATATCCGAATAACAACTTCGGATAAACCGAGGTACATGCATGTTTGTTTCGAAACATCAACCAATGCGTGTGCCAATTTACTCTTTGAACTCTGAATCCCCAGAACGACGCTACTCTCTCACCCTGACCTCCCACGGCGTCGCATCGATTCGACGCGTTAAAAAATTGTAATATTCCTAATTTTAAATCAAAATAACTTCTAAACCATTAGATATCAGATGGTCTGTAATATATCATATAAAAGCTTATCTAGTCTTTTATTTTCAACTGGCATTATTTTTCACGAGATGTTTTGATGAGATGTGTAAGCCTATTTGTAGCCCCATCTATACTATTTTTTTGTATTTTGGTAATATTTAATACATTTCTTAGAAATGTATCATCAATATAATTACAATTTTGAAAAGTATACAAAATTACCTTTCGGATAATATACGTATGACTTTTTTGTAACATACGCATAACTCATTTTATTGCAGAATTTGTACTATCGATTCAAATGGTTTGCGAACAAAATTTATCAACTATTTGACACCAAGTTTGCGTAAGGGCGCAAAGGGCGACGACGACATTGTCGTGATAACTTCATGCGACGTATCGTGCGTATAACTCTTTGCGTGAGGTATATTGCGCAATTGCACATCTGGTCGTTCACAGCTTGAGTGCAGATTGTGGCTTCATTGCATTAGTATCATATCCTCGGCCGCAGATAAAACCCTTTCAGACGAATTTTGATCGAACATAGTAAAATTGCTAGAATATAAAGGCCATTTTATATACGTTTACTATTTGGATATGAGACGAAAATGAATGGCCAAAACGAAATATTTGATCCTCATGAATTTATGAGGTTCCGCCGGAAACATCAAGGCTAATTATTCACCGTTGGATATCATGAAGATTGAATAAAAAAAACTGATAACGGGTAAACGGAAGACATGGTGGCACCAGTAGCTCACCTGGTCAGTGTTTTACATTTTGCAGCCTCATTAGATTTTCGAAATTACTGCATATACGCTACATTCCTGATATCGCTATATTTACAATGGATTTTAAACGAAAGCTTTGTCCAGATGAAATATTGGATAGTATTCATCTATCGGAAGAAGAAAATATGGCACAATAAAACTCAGCAATGGCGCTAAACAATGCATCCATCGATATGTTCCATCATTCTGTTTTTAAAAATCCTTATTTTTGCTATTCGTATTTTTCATATCTTTATGCAATTAAAACGGCAATAACACTGCGTATTGTGTGTTTTAGTCGAACCGATGTAATGCGTAAATTTCCCCGTGTATCGTTTACAAGTCGTAAGTCGCTTCACGAGTACGAACTTAAGTAAATGACGTTACGAGCATGCGAGGAAAAGTGTTTCTCGTATGAAACGTAAACGTGCTACGTGCCAACGTAATTGCTTAACGTCGCTGCGTAACGGCGTAAATGTGTTAGGTCGTTATTTACGTCACCTTGACGTCGCCTCGATCTTGCGACAAACAAAATCACGAATACAAATGCTTCCAAAATTTGAATGGTGCAACATAAGTTCAATCTAATGGTATCACTGGAAAGCTATCTTCAAATTCTACAAATTTTGTCGATAATGTACTAGGTTTAATCGAAAACAAATTTAAGTTTTGTCAATTAGATTTGAGCAATTTTCAGAAGTTTTTTATGCTTTTTAATTTTGCCAATTTTCATAAGATGATCACCATATTTTATCTCAATTTTAAAATTATACTTAGTCCTGTAGAATATCTTTCACACGATGTAAAATTTGTCTAAATATAATAAATGGTTCGCGAGATATGAGGTTTCAAAGTTGCATACCTCTTACGGGATGCGAAAGCCGCTAAACCGGCTTTCAGCGTCGGAAGACTTTCTCGGGAAAGCCGGTTCAGCGGCTTTCAGGGTTCAAAGAGTTAAATGATGTGCGGCCAGCGAAACGAGCTTTTAATTTAGTGTAATGTTTAATCTGGTACATGCGAGTAATTCCAATCTCTTTGCATTGCAAAGCCCATACCTGAGTTCAATTTATTATCTATATTCTATGCAATGAAGTTGTAATGCCCTATTAGCAAGCTTGTGCGAAGTGAACAACGCATGTCATTAGATCAATAACGTCCCGCGGTTTCACCCAGTAACTTGTATTTGAACATTCTGTATAAAAGGTTGCACACGGCTGGCTTAAATAATAATGTCTGTGTGTTTTCTTTTACCTTGATTATGTCTCTCCTTTCGGCAATTCACTAATAGTAGTTGTGATAAATATACACAATTTTGATAGCTTTGGCTCGGGCAAGATTGAAGTCATCAAAACCCAGCTCATCAAGCCATTCATGAAATTTGAGAAGCATGACAAACTCACTCACGAACCTTTCAATTATCACTTCCGATTGAAGAGAGACAGCTCAGCAGCTAAAGGCAAGTTGCTGCTTATAACTAAATGTACTCTTGAATAATTTCTGTACCAATTCATATAAGAGTTTATTTACAGAAAAAGTGAGATGCACAATCCGCGTATTCATCTGCCCCGAGAGACATGCAAATAAAAGGAACCACTGGATCGAAATGGACAAATTCGTGCACGAGTGAGTATATATAAACCACTAGAGGTTCTCAACCGCCGGCCTGCGAGAAATTATAATCATTGTTTGTTATTTTTCTGGCAGCGTAAACAGACGCTGGTTACCGCAATGACAAGGTTGCATTGCGCAATAACGTCTTCTGCCGGTAAATTGTGTGTTTGATAAGTACGCGGTGGCCAGGTGATTCCTCGGCCCCGGATCTTCAAGACTTTAATTGTGATTCCTATTATTAAAAAAGGGGTTATAGCGCGGGTGGGTATGTCATATAGTGGCTATTGCTTTTGACATACGACTACTGAAGAAAAAGGAAATATAAAACCGTAGCTCAACTGCTCGATTGATCAGGAGATAGGTTGGATGATTCAAGAATGAACAGAAAAACGCGCTTCAGCAAATCGCGGAAGGCTTCAGGCCCGATTGGTGGAACAGCAAAGAGTAGGATGGTTGAAGTTCCGCTGTAATAGTCTCGGACCAAATATGAAAAAATTGTCAATTTGTAAAAGCAAATTTTATTTTTAAATATCATATAATAATCGTGTAACCCCTTCTGTCATTTATCGTACTACCGATAGTGAAAATTACAAACCAAAACTGAAAAATATTTGGTATCCAGTGTTTTAGTTATGTAGTTTGAAGAGTTGTCTGACTGCCATGAACTGCATCGACTCGCACGGGTATGTGCTGAGCCTTATATCAGAAAAGGCGTTGACATTTAAAAAGGGACTGCGAAGAGGTATTGGAATTTGCGTGAAGTCGGCTGCGAGAATAAACTTGAATGCTCAAAATGGATGATCGGTTGCCTCGAGAAAGCACCTACTAATTAAACGAGTCAAGCGTTTGTCCATCGCACCCAACGCTTTAACAATAGCCCATGACTTTTGCCTGGCATCCGATTTGATACCTCTTCAAAATTTTATCTCCCGAATTTTCCAACACTTGTAAATAACCTGTAAGCGGTAACACGACGTGGTCTCTTGACAACGTTGAAATGTAATACAAGTAAGATGTCTCAAGCTTGCGTGCTGGTATGCGCTTGAATCATCAATATTTCCCGATGTTCTGGATAAATTGGAAACTGGCTATTTACTCCCGTACTAGAAATACTTAGCCGTAAATATTCGAAAGAAAAAAGAAACACGATTTTGCTCCTACTGCGTTTTATCGGCATCCAGATTTGAAAGTCTACTGCTCACCATAGAAACAAACACAATGAATGACTTAATATTAATTTCAATTAAAATTGTAATAAAATTATAGATTTACTGGGAAAGAAACTGTGGTCACTCGAAGAGACATCGAGTCTTCTGTGATTAAGAGAAAGCCAGAAATGTTTGAAAAAGCAGAAGAAAACAAGTTTACCAGAATGGTCGGGGGTTGGTGTGAGTGTGGATGGCCTTACTCTATGCTACTACCGCGTGGAACCAGGGTAAATTGTCTTACTTCGAGCCGTGTAATTGGTGCAATATTTCACGAATCAGGAAGTAAAGAGTTGTCACGTAATATACTGGAAAGATTTCTACACAGAGTTGATACAAAGATTTTATTGGCTCCGTTTAATTAAGAGCAACGAATTTATCCATGTCTAAGTTTTTTTCGGATACACAAGTTTAACGATATTTACACATCATAATTTATAAATGTATGTTTTTTCAGGAGGGAGAGAAGTATGTTGTATGTGTTGTGGTCACCGACAATGATAAGGACATGATAAAGACAACAAATCATTGTGGTAGCATGAGCTATTGTGGATCCAGAGATATGGAGTACCCAGACTTACTACCAATGGGTTATCCGTTCACTTGCAATGTTACGGGATCTTCAGAAGTGAGTATTATAGCAAATATTAGCATTCATTAGTTTGATTGCAAAACTATAGGATTTTACTTATCCTCAATTTTTGTAATATCTCTTTGCTTCTAATGCGATTTTGCTAAGTGATTACTTTCTTTCATTTCCGTTTTAAATCATTTATAGAATGATTCCTAAATTCACAATAATTATAGATTTTATTCTACTCAAAATGTTTAAACCAGAGAAATTAGCTTGAACATTTTTTTCATTTTCAGAAAACTCTACTACAAATGCTACAAGAGCAACCCAACGTTGCATTGGCGCCATTCATCCTTCAGAACGGACCGTCTTGGAGAGAACTCATTGATTCTACTATTGTTGACAGACCCCCGCCATATCCACCTGTTAAGTCGAATGTCATCTGGCCAAACAGTAAAGCACAGCTGTCCATGCTTATGGAAAACCCATTCATGTAAATATCGTTTTATGTGGTATGACCAGATCTTGTTACTGGCCCTTATGAAATTTCCCTTGATGGCCAATTAGGCTAAACAATCACAAAATAAAGTACAAAAACAATCAGAATTGGGTCAAATCATATCGCAAAATTTGGATACTGACGACAGTATATCTGAGGGTACAATTTGAGCAATGGATTTTAAATATAATGGTTTACAAATTGACAACAAAATAGATTTTGTACTCGGTGGCCTATGCTATAAAGCAACATGTAATCACATATTTGTAATACGGTTATCTCAGCAGAGCATTTGCATTTAATTTTCAAACGGAAACGATTATTCCTCGAATAATTTTATTGTTTGCTTTTTTTCTTTCTATAATTTTAATTAGAAAATATATTTACAGGACAAGTGGCGCGGTTGGAACATTTAGAATTGTACTTCGCCAAGGCGAATACAACGCAACAAAATCCACCTTCAGAGTTGTCTTTAGTGGGCGTGGCGAAGGCAATGGAAGTTATGAGATCATCGGTGCAGAGATTGGAAAGAGAATTCGTCCCTTCCCCAAAACCGATCCGAGCCGCAGAAAACCAATATTAGTGAATGGTCAGAAAAATATCAATGTTCCGGAATCAGGCGTGACTTCTGACCCGATAACTATGGGGTGAGAAACATATAGTGCACACTCGGGTTGAATGTTAATATTTATTACTACTCCATTACGACTTCTCAAACTTTTGATTAAAAAAAAGGCTTTATAGCAAGAAATTTATATTTCATTTATAATAGTAATAAATATATATTAGTATTTATTTAAGTTATACGAAACGACTAAATATTGTTTACACATTTTTTTGGCAGATTGGATGGCTCCAGCGATTATTACATCACTTTTGTGTTGAATTCTTCTGGCGCATTCAAAAAAACCAAGGGCGGAATAGTCAATACTCGAGCCATGAAAAATGTATCATTTTTTGACGATGATTTCTCTTTATTCAAGGGAGAAATCTCTAAGCTCTCCACTGTCTATTGCGTGAAGAAGATCATCGAATAAAATGGTCGGAAGCAACAAAATGCAAAAAAGTTATCTATATATAGCTCACTATAATCAATTTGAGCATTAAAGATGGCTTTCTTAGTAATACATATATATAACTAGAACTTAGCATACTTAGAAATTGTAAGAACATTTAGGCAACCTAATTTGCCTGTGATATTAGATAACCAAGTTGTTTTCATTTTCTTTAGTTATGTCATTATATTAACCTATTAACCTGTATTGATATAAAATAATTGCTTTTAAAATTGGATAAAATCCAGAGTTCATCGAATTTGTTTTCAAAGAAAAACTAGTGAGAAAAATATAATTTATTCATCAATCAATAACTTTTCGCTAAGCGAGTTTGGCTATATCTTTTAAGCACTTATCTGAGCATGAAATGCTTCTGTGAATAAATTAAACTGCTAGATAAAAGATACAACCACTAAAGAAACATTTTCAAAGAAAACATTTTAATTTTGATTGATTTCAAATTGGTTAATATCGTTAAATATGCACATTTACTTTGCTATAGCTTGAACCTGCTTTTACTTTGTGTATTCATTTATATAGCTATTATGTTTCTAGAGTGTGATAGAAAATGGATGACCATAAGTTTTCGCATGTGAAAAGTAAATGATTTGTGATTAGTATGTGATGTGGCAAAAGGATGTGGCGTTTAATGTCGGTTTCATTTTTGACGATTGTTTGATTAGATGCACATTTATCCACTGAAATAGAGTTATTGTAGAATAAATAGTTATGCAGAATATTTTTTGTAATTTCTGAATTTCTTCTTTGGGGACGGGTCAATTTTCGGTTTTAATACTTCTATTTGTTTTGAACATTGTGTCATTAGTGGGATAGTACTTGAAAATCTTAAAATAGACAGATTGAATATTCAGAAAGTACGAGTGCGTTCAGTTTGGACCAGTAAATTATAATATTTCGGCAAAAAGTTTGTAATTCATAAGTAAGTGAGTTTCAGTTCAATCATGTACGAAAACTTGAAATTGGATTTGTTTAAGCTTTAAGGCAGCGTTTCCCAACCTTTTTTGGTCGCGGACTATTTTCTCACCGGCGAAAACTTTTTGCGGACTCAAGTTGCGTTCATTGCAACCCTACTCTGCGTGAAGAAGCAATAAAACCAAAACAACAAAATTGTAACGAATTTCAACAATGGCCTTTTCTGTTGCACAATATTCAATCCATGACAACGACGAGAATTTAAAATGTCTTTCTATTTTAATTTAATTGTGTTCATGGTAACTCCCGGTTGCGTCGACTTGCAACAAGATGAAAGCATTACTTCTTTAAAATGCCACGGCAATCTGCGAACATGATAATGTGAGAATATATTGCCCGATTATATTCAGTTTTGATATATACATTGTTTTTGCGATCTTGCGAAATTGTTATCGCCGTTAGAAAAATCCTACTATCTGCTATAAATTTCCAGAAAGTACAACTTGATTTAGTACTTATTAAAAATATATTTAAAGTATATATATTAGTAAATCAAAAATACACATTTATCGCCTTGCTTTATTATTAATTTAATTGTGATCATTTTAATCTGCGGTTGTGTTGATTAAATAAAAGCAATACTACTCAGAATATATCATGACAATCTGTGGACACAAAAATGAGTGGTGAAGTGCCCGATTGTATTTTGTTTTGATTCGTATTTTTGTGAATTCGACAAATCTGAGCTGTTCGACAACACCTACGGCAGTAATGTAGGTACCAATGTGGAGACAGTAAAGCTAAGAATCCTGGAAGAAATTTGGCAATTTGTAATGTCTAAAAAAGCGTTTTTAATCGGTCGCGGACCATCATAAAAAAAACTTATGTGTTCTCCATTTTACTGCTTTTCAATTTAGAAAATTTTGGTTGCCACCATTGACACCCACCAGAAAAAAAAACATTCCTCGTTGTTCGAACTCACCACTGAGGTATCCACGCGTGTGCCGACTCGTGTTTTCGTCGGAAATCCGCAAGTCAGTTATGAAATCCAATTGTTTGATTAAGCGACGCGCAAGTGATTGCTATTTTATTAATTGAATTAATGTTATGTGAATAAACTTGCTTTTTATGTTTCATGTAAATTTTAACTTAAATCGTAACTTGGCTGATAGTTGAGATTCGCAAAAACGTTTGCGGCCCGCAGTTAATTTCTGGCTCGTTGCGGACTCATTCAAACGCTCCGCGGACTCATTTGAGACCGCGGACTCGGGTTGGGAAACACTGCTTTAAGGACTTCAAAAACCATCACAAGAAAATCCGCACCGGTGCTATATATACGAGTTTACTCACTTCAAATATATATTTAAGAATGAGAGTTTATCGTTCTAATCAGTTTTTCAAAGTAACTATATGAAGCCTTCAGTTATTTTAAAATTGCTTCCAGAGAAATATCGTGGTATTTTTAGCATCTCTTCTCGTGTTTGGTTTTGTAATGTCGCTTGAAATTATATTCTTTCGGTATTATATATTTTCGGTATCTTTTCTCGTGTTTGGTTTTGTAATGTCGCTTAAAATTATATTCTTTCGTGACAGATATTACTTGAAAACACACCAGACACTGTGGTTTAACGTTGTTGTGGGTAAGGAAATACGTTTCCTTTGAGTTTACTTCGGTCACCTTTTTTCTACACTCATTGTATGATGAATTGTTATATTTGAAAAGTTATTACTTGTAGCGTGAGCAGGCCTAGTGCTACCATAAAAAAAAACAAGTCCGTCCTAGTTGGGATCTCAGACCCAGATAAAAAAAAAACTGGATCTCGCGTCGCTAAGTCAGCCCTGGGATTCGTCACTGCTGTCACGTGACCAATGCTTGAAAATAGAGGAGGCACAAAACGTCTTTTCAAATGAAGAGTTACTTGACGCAAGCTCATCTCATCGGCTTGGTCCAGTCTGCACAAGATAATTTAATCCCCCTTCATCGATCACAGGACGTCATTCCTATATGCAGTGATTCTCAACCTTTTACTGATGCGTACCACTTTTGTGTTTTTTACTCTGGTCGCGTACTACCGACAAAACTCCCTTCTGGGGTTGGGACCAATGGCAAAAGAAACGCGCTATGGGAGTATTTAATATGACATTACACAAAGTATTAATTGTATGTATTAATAACGTATTAATTGCGTGCAAAACCGCGAGAGCATTGTCGTCTGCCGTCTGAGCCGAAGGGCTTTAATCATCGTTTGGTTTTAGGTGGAAAGTAGCGTTCGAGGGTGATCTCAAGTCAGGAACTAGTAGCGCTATAACCCGTTCAGCGAATGGAAGATAAAGCGTTGTCGCCATATTTTAACCAACTCAAAAGTTTATTGTTGCAATAATTCAAAGCTCTTCTGTTACGCGTACCACAGGTTGAAAACCACTGGCACCGTCTTGACGTTTATAAATACAAAAATGAAATTCCGTGATTTTAACAAATATCAATCCCGATATCGGAATTAGGAAAAATACTATTCCCAGTTGGAATAGTTTGAAAATTCTGCTAATGAATACAAATATATCCAATGGTTCAGTGGTGTACGCTAAAATTGTTCGGCGGCCGCACAGAATGTGTCGGCGGGCCGCATGCGGCCTGCAGTTTGGACCACCCTGTTTTAAGACATCAACATTCCTTCTCACAAAAAATAAATGAGGCAAGCCCAGTTATTGCAAAACATGTTCGCCACAGTGACACACATTTTGACAAACAGTTACACTTTTTTCAGTTCGAACAGGGATTCGGCAGGTTACTATTGGCGGTACCTCAATTTCACCACGTAAAAATCAATAGACATGAAATATCGCGCAATATTTATGTCCTAATTGGCAATAAGATCTTAAGAAGAACGATGGCATATTCGTTAAAATTATGTAGGCCATATTGAACTATTTGAAAAAGTATAAGGCTAAACGCAAATGACAGCACAGTGAAGGATATGTTCAAAACATGGCCCACAGCCGGCATGGTTGCTTTCTCTTTCGGTATTATTATTTAGTTACGGTAAAGCAATTCCATGACTGCGTGATCAAACGAAGCTATCCGATCAGGAAATGCTGAGCAAAACAGAGTGTGCTCGCCGAGATTCATTAAAATAATCTATGAAATTATTCGGGCTCAACCGTCACTTAAAAAGTAGGTGTGCAAAATTTAAGACATGTTGGAGTGCAGTAAAACAAAATATTTGCTACTCCCGTAGTATGTGAACCAAGATGGCGGACACCTGAAAGTAGTACGTGCAGCTGGTGGAGGCACCAGGTTAGGGTTAGGCAATAATTTCAGGTAAAAATACTACGGGAGACACTTGGCAAGTCCTTGTTGAACTCGTAATATAACTAAAATAGGGAAATTTGAAATAATATATGGCCTAACCCTAACCTGGTACACTTACTACGTTTCGGTTTCCGCCATATTAGTTCACAAACTATTGGAATCACACTGCGCTAAGTGTTGAGATACATGTATACATCCAGGGTTGCCAGACCCCAGCGATCAAAAAAAGCCAAATCAAGACACGAAAAAAGCCAACAATTTTACTAAGTACAAAAGCCCCATGATTTGTCAGATTTTAAGCGCTTGGCAACGTACTGATGATGATGTAGAGCCATCAGTTCATTCGGTGAGGCACACAAATAGAAAGTAGAGTTCCTATAGAACTGTAGAAAGTAAAATAAATATCAAGCGGACAGCATCCTTTTACCATTCAACATATACAATACAGGGTGCCGCCTCAGTCTGTCAGTATGTAATAGCCTATACCTACATGTTTCTCCTTAAACTTGTGATATACCTTAAAAAATTCTCCCTATATCAGTATATCGTGCTTTACTATTGAAAATTTTTTCACTTTTAAAATATATAAACCATCAATTTTATTAAAAAATTATCTAACCCCCTGCCGCTCACAGGTGTACCACTGATATCTAATTCAGTAATTTTAGCGTAGTTAATCACATCGTTACTGCAATTGCAAAATTAAACTAAAGCTCACATAAACCATATCAGGCATAATGAAAATTAAGTTATAGAACTATTTTTTGGAAACAGAATGTAAAACTGACAAATAGGCAAAACTATAAAAACGAGGCAATGTTTACAACCCTGCTTGAACATCTGTCTGAGCAGCTGCAGAAACTGCAATTATTTCTTATTGGGTAGGATATGGTTAAGAGTTAATGTAACAAACAAGAAAATCGATGCTCCAGAAAATCCTAATGTTAAGTAGCTAAGTACGTTGTTACACACTAAATATTGTATTTCATATGATTTTAATAATAGACCCTAGAATAGACTTTAAAAAAGCCAAAAAAACGCCAAAAAGCCAAACGGAAATTATGACGCCAAACGCTTTTGGAAAAAGCCAAAAATGGCAAATTTGGCGTTAAAAAAGCCAATATGGCAACCCTGTATACATCTACGCGTGATACCGGTACTGTAGTATATATATATATATATATGTTTTCTATGACATCATAAATACATAATTGATGTTTATCAAGTTCCCTCGTCAGACTACTGTGGTGTTGATTTGAGCAGGGTTAAAACTAAAATCTCGGTAAGATGAAGGGCATTTCACTTGCTTCGTTTGATATGGTGGGCGACAATTCATTTTCAGGAGTGGCTCATGTTGAAAATATTTGCGACGATAAAAAAGTGTACGCAAGAGTAACCTCCAACAAATGGAAATCGTGGGCAGACATTCCAGCCAAACTAGTTGGAAATGAGACCAAATCAGATAACGTTAGCAGCTGTCGTGTTGAATCTTTTCAATTTAATTTCAAACGAACAAATAGCAAGTATGTAAGATATTTGTATAATTATGTAGATAACATTAAATAGAGTTGTCATTGATTTGTTGAGCTAGAAACAAGCTGCGTAGCTGGTTTGAAATCACAGCGGCTGCGATCCCGGGGAGGCGCAGTTCTTACCACTTCATGGCAGCTCCTGCCACGAACGAACCGCGGCAGCTCTTGCCATGGTTTTATAGCGCTATTCTGTATTCAGTAATCAGTATTAACGGTATATTCACAAACTAATGTACCAAATCCTAATTGATCATGCGGAATTATATCTACTTAAACCCTAACCCCAAATCCATCAAGACTGTATCCATAAGAAAAACGTTCCAACTTACCCAATATTTGTCACCCTAAGGGACAGCCCTGTCCTTAAGGCCCACCTGCCGCGGTTACGGCAGCAAAATTTTACCTGCCATTGGTTTTCAATTTGCTGCCGCGGTAACGGCAGCTCGACATTGGTTTGTGGCAGCTAAAAAGTCAGTCGCCATAGGTTTGGCCGTAGCGGCCATGGTATGGAAATACCGCCATGGTTTTGCGGCAGCTGCAGACGCCATAGAATACTTAAAACTGCACTTGATCCCGGGGGCAAATTAGATTTAAACTGTTGCTTCAACTTTTTTCAGTTTCAGTTCAGCTTCAGTTTTTTTACTTACCCGTATACTACCAAATAATATCAGTTATTCTGTATTTTATATTTTTGCCTAGGTCTGTTTTAAAACGTTTTTCAGGGCCATCAATTTAGAGTTCGCCCTTTTCTGTCGTACATCAAAAGAAGAAATATGGGATAACAACAGTGGCTTGAATTATGTGTTCAACAATATACCGGCGACATTACCCCAAACGTAACGTCCTTTTTCTACATATATATATGCAAGTGCATTAGTCAACTAACATGTCTTGATAATATACAGTTAGATACACATTATAGAGTATACTTGATGTCATATAACACCTTTACTGAACCATTTTCGAGTCTGAGGTACAAGTTTGCAATCACCATTTTCCAGTATCTGATTCGAGCCCGCTTTTCAGTTATGTTGCATACGCATCAGGTTCAATTATGCCTTTAAATCCCGGAACAAAATCATTTTTCTTTCTTTGTTTTAGATCGGAATTGACACTACAATCTGATGTGGCAGTGAATCGATACAGGAAATATAATAAGTATGTTGCATTGTACAAGGCTAACGAGAAACCAACTTGATTTGATAGTTATGTTGATTTCGTTTATAAATCGGGCATTGATTATATACGACTAATTTTAAAAAATTAGGCTGATTTTTCGATTTGAATATTCGATTGAAATACCATTCAAATCGAAAAAGTGAACGCCTATAGGCCCTTTTTCATATAGGTACTATTGTACACGACAAGAATGTGCTGCGTTACTGGTATTTCATGATTGATGCCCGAATATGAAGCGACAAAAAAACCTTTGATTAAATTGATTTTGCACTTACTAAAGCATAGTATTTGATTATCTAATCAGCAGTCGCAGAAGCATTTTCTCTTTTGAAAGACAGAAAATTTTAACCTGTATTTCACAATCGGAAACTAATATTAATCAAGTATAGCTTACCAACCAAGGTTTACAATCAATAGCACGAAACAATATTATTTAATAATTTTTTTAACATGGACATTTTTTTTATATTTTAGATCAAGTTTGGAAGATCCTTCTTACGTAAAAGAAAAATTTGATATATTTCTAGAGATATTAGAAGGTATATCCATAAATTATGTTTGTATTTTGAATGTCCAGCCTCACTATACGAATAATTTATTGTATATATTTGTTTTTAGAATCTATACGTGAAAATATGATAATCTGAAGATGAAGATCAAATTTTCCTAGGTTATTAGTTTTTGTTTGCTCTTTCACTCAATCATCATGGGCCAGGTGTATGGCTCTTGACAAATAATAAACTATATGAGATTCTATCGAAGTAGTATTAGTAGTAAAATATATTACAGTAGCGGGGGTGATTTTCAAATTCACTTGGGAAATAAGCAGTGTTGTAACATTGAATGTTTTTCGCCTTTCTCTCTATTTCTTCTGTGCCTCTGTGGGATTTTTTTGACAATATTTGTGAGTATATTTCGAAACATTTCATTTGAAAGTAGAAGATTTAGCATGTCTAGTTCTTCATGTATGCAAACTGCAAAGTTGTTTACCAAAATTTAATCGTTATTAGTCCTTGTCCGCAGACCGCAGAAAATCTGAGCGTTTATTTATTTCAAACTAATATATGATACTCACACTAAAATATCTTTATAAGCATTGGTTTTGTGGAAATTTTAAAGATGGATTACTAAACGAATATTATGATTTGAAAGCCAGGATTAAGTTCCACTTTTTCTTTTGGCAAACGTCGAATGCTTTCCAGGCTCTCGCGCATTGTGTTTTCTAATCGAATTAATAAACCCTTTCAGTATACTATTTAACAGTATATTAGCTTTCCTGTTTTAGCTTTCTAGGACACTGATTATGTCCATACAATTATGCGTATTCATCTTACAGCCAAATCACGACATCACTGGCAATATTAACCGTACGACTGACGCATTTGATTCTCAGTCAACAATGTAATCAATATTTTGCGTAGCTTCATAGCACAGTGGTTGTTAATAATGTTTTTAATCTGCAAATACGTAAACCACTTAAATTGTAGCATCAGAGCTGCATAGATTGTTCGTTCGATCCACTTTTGGCGTCATCATTTTTATTTTTAGACTAACCTCCGTAAATAACCTTTCGAATACCGACATTTTGGGTTCAGTTCTGCCTACGGCGAAATGCTGTATTAAATAAATACAAAATCGTGATATAACACACTAATCAATAAACGACGGACATTTTTTGTACGATTTCATTAACGAGGTAACTTTAATTAAAATTGCGTGGTTAAAAGAACTTAATTTGTGGTGATTGATAGATAATTGCTAAATTCCACTGCTAATATGGCCAGAGATCTCATTGTATATTTAGTTCTGGGTTGTAATAACATGAATTTTTTGGAAAATTAAAATTTATAATAAGATCACACAAATCTGATGAAAGCCTCGTGTGGATGAATGCTGTTTCGCATAGGGCGATGGGTACAAAAATATTGTTTGGTTTCAAATTCATATGAAAACATTAGAAAACTATTGGCTCCGTTTTACTCTTGAATATAGTAGTTAAATATGTGCTTTGAACATTTGATGTTTGAAATTCGGATGACATCGACGGAAAGCTTGGCAGTATAGTTGCAAATCATTATCGTGTTTTCCCGAAAATAAGACCTATCCTGACTTAAAAATTACTTTAATATAGGCCCTCCCCTTAAAATGAGACCTAATCGATAGCGCGAATTTTTTTGGCCTAGTCGATGGTAAGAAATCTCTCCTACACGTTTTAAATGATTAATAATCTAAGTTCAGCACTTTTGTTTTTTACATAGAAACGTGTTATTTTATTTATGAGTAAATGGATATCGGTTTTCATATTTTGTATATTTGAAAATCTCGTAATACCTTACTTTGTAATTTCGTTTTTAATAAATGAAATTAAAAGACATCCTCTTAAAATAAGCCGTAGTGTTATTTTCGAAAGAAAATTGAAATTCGGCAAAACACGGTAGCTTCATCATTTTTATTGGTTATTAGATTAGTGATAACCACAGATTAGGTTGCTTATATATATTGACATTAGAATGCCAGAGAGAATTTTTACAATCACATCTTGTGGGAGCACATCATACCCACTCACAAGTCGTTGCCTTTTCAAATGAATAAATCACGATGACGCAATTAATTTCTAAAATTACATATTTTCAAGTATCATAAATGTATTAATTCCAAATACTATCAACTCAAGTGCCAGATGATAACGTCATCTTTATTATCGATGAATTTCTTCAACTGCTGTAAAAGTTGCCCAACCTAAAATGCGTCAAGTGGCCTGCCGAGCAAACAAGCATTCCATCGGTTGCCTTAGGGTTCCTACTGTTTACAGCTATCGTTTTATTGAAATAAGATTTTTTCATATAAGTATATATCATATGGAATAACGAACATACAGATGTTTGCCACGATTTAACGCCTTTTTCTTCGAAAGTACTCCGGTAGTTTCCACGAGTCAGCAGCCGGATTTGCACATATATATACTGTACTATTGTTTGTCTAACTTTTAACGTAACAAGCAATAAGATTTCCCCCAACTAAAATGACTTATTTATTCACTGTATACGACGGATTTCCTCCGCCATCATCCAGTAGATGAATACGTCATCCGACACACGGTGATGAGCAATATATGTCGTCATATTTTCTCACACAATGATTCATGTTATCAATGACCTGACTTCGAGTGCACATGATAGGTTATGCCAAGGTAATATTAATTATGGTGAACAACAAGTACAAAATCACTCATGTGTCCACTAATCACATGAGACATCCTGAGCGATAATATATTTTCTTTCATATAAGAATAACAGTTGTATTAATGAATAATAAGAAGCAACGCTCAAATATATGGACACGAAATTCGCTCGGTATTGGTACTATAAATTCTCAGAACCCCGAGTTTGCTACAATGATCGGGGGACAAGAGCGACATAAGCGGCCAAGCGTGAAATAATAAATATTCCCCGTTTTTGGTTCGAATTTGGGTGAAATATCGAGTCCGCTGATAACCTGCGTCCTTATTTTATGTCGTCGTATATAGAGACTGATTTTCCGGTACAGCGATTCTCAAATACGGGCCGAAAGAGATACAGAAATAGGCAAAAATCCCGGAAGTTTTGTTGTTATTTTTAGTATTCTCGTTGTTGTTGTTATCGTGAAATAATCGCTTTCAACTTTTTGATTACTGGAATAATTGCTTTCAAATTTTCAGTGGGTAAAGATTGTTGTTGTCGCCAGAAGGCTATTACTTTCATTTATTTCGTATCATGTGAGCGATTGGTGGTCAGTCGAAGTTGGGAAGACTGAACCGATACAGTAAAAGATCACCAATATCACCTCTTTTTGGTCATTGTGTCCATATATTAGAGAGGCGCGTTTCCCAAACTGTGTTCCGCGTCATCGAAGTGTCAAAAATACGTCTAAAATGGTCGCCATGGCGATCTATGGAACGTGAAGCTGATCAGAAGTAAACACTACGTAATGGAAAGTAAACGACATAGAATGGCAAAATGAATGAATTGATTCATATACACATCAATTAAATTAAGAAACGATAAATCATTTATAATAAATGCAATACGTCAAATATTCAATCATATTTTAGGTATGTTCAACACAATTCTGTTATTTTTTGCGGCGCATTTGGCAACTCGCCTCGAGAACCCATTGGGAACCGCTTCATTACTTTCATTTTTCCATCTTTTCATTTTTTTGGTGTTCCGCGAGGCGAGATAAAAAGTGTAAGTGTTCCGTGGCCGAAATAGTTTGGGAAACGCTGTATTAGAGCATTGCTCTATTGTTTAGTTTCTGAATTGCACCTGACGAAACATTAACTAAACTCGTTGCAGATCATCCATCTCTTTAAAACGGTTCCATCACATTTGAACCCACGTACATTTGAACCCACGACGATTGCACCTGCACACTATTGCACCTATGAAAATTTTTGTTGTTTTACGGATATTTGAACCCATACTAACCCTAACCCATGGGTTTAGCACCCGCATATAGATTGAACCCGCGAATATACACATGGGTTCAAATGTACGGTCACCCTTTAAAACACCCTGTACCATATATTATTTGTAATTAATTTTTCTTTCCAACTTAACATTTTTTTTGTATTGCTGTGGGGGCTATGATGATGTGTAGGGGATTATTGTGACACTTGATAAATATACTATTAAGTTCTACTGTATTCTGGAAATAAAATTGATTATACATACTCAACAAGATTCTCCTATTTGCACCATTGAGACAATAGCGTAAACTACGTAATGCAGGGGTCGGCAACCTTTTGTCGCTCGCGGGCCCAAATTAAGGTTGCAAGTCATTGGCGGGCCGCGCATATTTTTAGAAAGTTGAAAAACCGAACGGATGATACTTTTTATAATCAAATCAAGCAGTGATACATCTCTCGAATAGAATATAGATTTATTTCCTCATTGCATCTCATAAAATTTCATTTGAATATTTTCAGCGCCATTAAACCCTTTGCACTTAGCATCAACTTTCCTGCGTTTTGTTGCCATTTGCTTAATTATAATTACATTATATGCTCATTAAACGAGTAATTGTGAAATATATAGTTGTTAGGTTATAATATAATTTAGTCTAAAGAATATATTCGTCAAAACGGATGTTTTGTTACTATAATTTAGTGAAGCGTCGCCGGCCGTATTATAGTTCTCCGCGGGCCGGATGCGGCCCGCGGGCCGTAGGTTGCGGACCCCTGACGTAATGCCCCTAGAAATGCGTGTTTTTGAGGATTGGTTTTGAAAATTTTAACTGCAAATATTAAATTGCATTGCACACACCCTGTATCCGGCTATGTAACCAACCATCAATAATCTTGTTGATATAAATCGATGGTCACGATTTCTAGTTTTTCGAATTTTGCTTTCTACAATTCTTCTTCTGATCTGGCAACTGCGGGTATGATCTGAAAACATCCCCACTGTTTTCCTGGGTGGAGGAAGCCGTAATCGGCCAGGGGGTACGAAACCACCCTGCGACGGCGAGTCCAAACATACAATGGGATTCGGACCTGCAAGCGACGGCATGGTGATTAGAAGCGCAATGGCAAACATGTTTTTATGCTTAGCATGATGAACTAACTGTCGCCAATTTTCGAGTAAATACATAAATAGACACCATGAATAAGTGTGCAAAATTGTAGCACATATTCGGAACAATTCATTCGACGTTATTCCTAATCAGTAAAAAAAATCCTCAAAACGAAGTGTCACCAATTAGGCAAAGCGGTGAAAACCTCTCAACTACACTATGAAATGTGTAATCTCAAAATTTTCGTGTAGTGAGTTTAACAATTCTTCCCAAAGTGTTTTCTTAATTAAGACAGTGAGGTTGGCGGGTGTTTTGGACTTGTGTATGGCCTCGGCAAACATTATTTTGGGGATTTTCCTATTGCATTTATATGAATTCCGTGTAATTGAAAGTTTACGTGATTAGATGTTAGTATTTATAAGTTAATCAAATTACGCTATTGACGACATTGTTTATGGAAATTAACGTTTCTCTTTCTAAACGCCCGTGTCGATAGCGTTTGGAATGTTTTCAAAATGTGTGACGTACGTTTAGCGAAATACTTTTTTTTATATTGTTTTGGTATTTTCCCACACAGTGTCAATTTTGCTTTGACTTACCTCAACAATTTTTCAACGATGAATACTGGTATTGATTCCTGTATTCAACGTGTAATTTTGAAGTGTCATTGTCACAAATTTGAAAAAAATGAGACAAAATTGATTTGTTCAAAAAAAATCTTGAATTTCTAGAATTTTTGAAACAAGTTTAGACAGGTATATTTTACGACTCATATTCGTAATTACGCGATGAACAATTGTGGTAAATTTGTGACAAAATCGATAGTTTCAGGGTTTGCTTTCTATGTAACTATATCTCTACAAAAAATGAGGCATGCGGGAGAATTTAACTAAATATATTTACGATTTTGTATTGCCACTATGGGTTTCTGTGGAAAAATACGCATATTTTCAATCCTATTTTGGCCGAAACATGAACGACATCAAGGTGTTGTCACCTTTCTCCCGTGTTTCGTAAACGAAACGACAGCTTAGCTTTCAGAGAAGTGCTTAATGCGTCTGAGAAACATGTTGTTGGGTATATTTTCCTGTTTTGTGATGAAATGATTCTAATTCTGTTCATGTCCGTTATGCTAGTATCTTAAATACAACCGGTATTGATTCGTTTTGATTTTGTGGTGTTTTTATTTCAAAATCTTTATGTAAGACTATAGTGTCTTTCAGAAAAACATATAATTTGCAGTTTTTCATTCAATTATTCTTGAGTTCGGGTCTCTAGCCATGTTATATCAGCGCATTCTTAATAAAAAGTCGATTCACAGCAACATTGTTACAGCGTCTATCGTAGTATGCCGGTTTGACAGCAACATTGACTACTTGACAACTGATTGACTTCACAGCAAAATTTCTTTCACTTACGTTCGGGGAGCTTTTTTTTCAAAAATTCAAATGACATATAGTTCAATAAATTGGTTGTTGTACTATGTATTACCACAAATTCAATAAAATAAATAGAATTCATTTATAGGACAATGGAAATCTGAAAACGAAAATTACTAATGGGTTTCAAATAAGTAATACTGCTGATGGTCATTCGACACTATCTAATTTGGCATCTACAATGACCAGTTTGAGTCAAACAGAAGCAGATAAACAGTTTTGATTCGTATACAATCAATGACCGTATTTGGAAGTTTTGATCGTAGTATTGAGCTTAGTTATCGCTCTCATTTCATGAAAATATTGAGTTTTTCCTTGTTTACATATAATTGAATGATAATAGAATATTCCAGTCACTACAAAAGATAGATCGTATATGTAAATCCGAATACGGTCAAAATAAAATTCCATATTTTTCATACCCAAAATCGAGAACTTTCATCGAAACAACATTTCATAAATACGCAATGAACATGATGCATATCAGTTCGTTTTGTATGAATCAATCCTTAATATGCAGTTGAAACCGTATATATGTGACTAAAATAATTGTGTTTTCATCATTTCGGGAAAAAATATGAAAATCAATATATACTAAATGTATTGTAACCGCACGGCATATTTGCTATGTCAAAACACGATTTATTATGAAATTATCATCTTCTTAAAATAGATTCTATTCCATATAGGGTAATTGAACTTGTTAATTAAAACGTGGAACTTTCACATCGTGACCTTTCACGCTTTCCGTTGAAAAGTTTGTTGCTAGTGATGATAACGAAAGGTTTATCAAGGACTACATATTGACCATAAATCAATTTCCTTCAATTTGGTGATTAATTTATTTATTTAATCTTATCTCTTCTGTAAAATACATATAATTTCATGAAATTGTGGAGTAAGATTGATCATAAGACAACAATCATCCATAATTAAACAGTCATAAAGATATAATCATCAATTCTAAATTATGGCCATTGATGTGATCGAATGATATCAAGATGATGGGATCGTGGCAATTGGATGATGGTTTAAATATCACTTTGGGCAAGGATTGAACAGGAAAACATTATACAAAAGTATATTGGTATTTATATATAATAATAAATCATTGTCAAGTAACTTCAATATATATACATGTGATTTAAATATATTACAGTTTTAGGAATAGATGTATAGTATGTAAAAAGGGTATAAAATGTATAAAAAAAGGGCATATTGAATTCAATCGGAATCATTTATTTGAATTCAATTTTGAATCATTGCATTCACAGAGGCATAGCTATAAATTAACAGTCTTAGATTAGTTAAGATCGCAAAAAAGTATATACTCGGAGATAAGCGAAATGAAAAATTATAAACTAATTAGGTATTTAGGTAGGCTCACAATTAGTATATAATAAGTAGCAGCCATTACGGACCCGCCTTATACGTATGTATATTAAAAATTTCATGTTTCATTTGTGTTCCTATTCCGGTACACGTGCATACTTGGGGATTTTATTTACTACCAGTCAAATCCGCTGTCCATAGTACGGCAATATTTCTATTACGCGTCATATCATGATATTGATGATATCATATCCGAAAAAAAGATGCCGCCGGGAGTGACATTTCTTAGCGCAGTATTTATAAGCATGTAGACTAGGACCGGAGGCCAGAATAAGCGATTGGTTGCAATTGAGAGGTCAAGGACTTGAAGTTTTTTTGCAGCGTTAACTTTCTCTATAAGTTGTAATACTATAAAGCTTACTATAGCTTTGAAATGAAGCAGTCCAACATAGCATTTTCAAGTTTTTATATTGAATGAAATATTAGATTTAGAATGATTCCGTTTTGATATCGTTTTTATTGAAATAATTATTTTTAATCGCTAATTTATAAATAAATTTTGTTCTAAAAAGAGAAGTTCTAGTCGTAATTGATTTAAAATTCCAGTTAACGTATTGTTAACTGAATCATTTTTTAACCATTATAGTTATTTTTATTGTGCAGCATATTTTTTTCGAAGTGAAATACATATATATATATTTTAATTTATTGAAAATACTAACAGTAAACGACGATGGAAACTTTACGACTGACCGTAATTGCAATAATTCTCTCCATTGGTTATTGTCAATCAGATAAAGGTATGTTAGTTTTCATGCAATTCTACTTATACTAAACTAATATTAGAAAAATTAAATCATTTCATTCTAATGGATAGAAAACGAGTATCAATATTCTAAACAATATCATTAAATAGACATTGCTTGCATGATTTGTTCAAGGTTTTCAAAATTAACCAAATAAAAATATAATTTCAGAATGCATAAGCGGTGCAAGTTATTTGTATACTGGAAAACGATCATTGACAAAACTTGGCCATACTTGTCAAAGATGGGACACTGGTTTTCCTCATAAGGTGAAGAAAATCCCGCAAGATGGTGGTGATCATAATTATTGCAGGTATCTAAATTATAAGTATTTGATTTTAATTTAGTATCAAAACTAAATTACATAGCACCTTTATAAAACTAACTGAGGTCATTATAGACGGAAAGGCCAAGGAATATTTTTTACCGGAAATGCGCACAACTTCAAATGTTTCTCGGTACCGGGCTTTACGTATGGTGACGTAGGGCGTCACTAAAAGTATTTGAATTTATGCGTGAATTAGACCACGTAGTTATGCATAATTTATTAAACATAAATGACGAAATAATAACTTTATAATAAAAGCTCTTCCCGTTTTTCTAGTGCAATATTTAGTAATGTAAGCTAATAATATTTGAACAATAAATTCAGAAATCCAGACAGAGATCCTAGAGGCACTTGGTGTTACACCACCGACCCTGCTGTTAGATGGGAATACTGTGACCTTCCTAAATGCGGTAAGTTATTGTATTGCGATTCCCATTACTACTTACAAATATCACCGTTCAGTCATAAAACGTTTCAAGTACAGGATTCATTATGAAATGCTTCGTCTAGACCTGACGCATATCAATATGAAGTGTTTTTACGTGTGGGTGGCGCTACACAACGTGGCCGTGATCTCCGTTTCAATCAGGTTTCAAACTGGTCCTATTATAAGATGAATCAAACTGATATGATTTTTTTAACATTGATGGAAAGGAAAATATTCATACAATTTTTTACTTATGATGTCTCTACTAAATAGTCTTCACTTTAATTTTACAGAAAGCAAAGTTTTAGTAGTATGGGCAGGATACAACGCGAAACAAAACAGTTCTATATTTGATCATGCAAAGGTTGGTGGATAACTTAAAAAAAAACTAAAAGTTGCTAGTTTCAAGTTCTTTAGGTAGCCATATCGACAGTTCATCAGAAATGAACATTTGTCAAAAATTTGAAATTACCGAAAAACTGTAGTTATTTAATAGACTGAAAAAAATAAAATGGAAGTTTCAAATGGAAATTATATCCCATATATTTTTCACGTCATATCTTTTTTTCTAATTTTAAATCTGTAGGCTGATCCAGAATATTCATCACAAAACAACGTACCAGCAGGTGGAATGGACGTTGAAGTTCACAAAAATTCTATTTTCAAGGCAGTAGAAACGGATGAGAAAGGAGAAAAAATATTTTTCACAGACTTGAAGTGAGTCTAATAACCCATTTAATGTACTTATTCACAAAATACGTATAAATTACAAAAAAACTAAAATGGAAAATGGAAAAATTCTATTTTCAAGGCAGTAGAAACGGATGAGAAAGGAGAAAAAATATTTTTCACAGACTTGAAGTGAGTCTAATAACCCATTTAATGTACTTATTCACAAAATACGTATAAATTACAAAATAATTTTGGTTCATTTCATAAGATCTATCAAAACGCCTGAAGCATTTTGTACCAGGCATTTATTTTTGTCTACATACCGTCTTGGCAATGAAGTCTATTATATTATTTGCTTTGTAATCATAACCTTTACTAATCTTGATCTTTCTCCCTTCAAAGCTTCATAGGAAATTTCTTATTGTTCGTTCTCGCACTTTTCTGTAATAAATGCTATCTTTAAATGTACACGAGAATAATAAAAAATAGATAAAAATTTCATTTATTGCTTGATTATTTCCAACGTTTGGATAGAATTACACGAATCACTATCACAAGCGAGATCCTGCCACTGAGATAAAAAGTATAAAAAAAACGGTCGCTGATATTCCTTTTCCGTTTTTCAGAGATAACTACTTTGGTATCATGGATGTCAAAAGTTCGGCAATCGAACGTCACTTGCAAGGAAAAGTGGGTGACATACACTCTATAGCACAGGATTATGTTACCAAAAATTTTTACTGGACAGATTGCAAAACAAAATCAGTGTGGGTTGCCGATAAGGATTTTAAAGCTCAATTTCCCATATACAACACAGAACCTTATAAGCCACAGGCTATAGCGGTTTTACAAAAACATAGGTGAGAAGCAAGTTTACATAAACTTTTGCAAGATATCATATGAACATTGTCATGCCACACAAGATTATATTTCTTAACAGAATTGTCTCGTATGATAATAACGCTTCAGGCATATCCTATGAACCCGCTCATACCTATGCTGTACACGTCAATGAGCTAAATCCTAAACCATAATTATTGTTTCATTATGAATATTTAACGCAATATACTTTTTAAAAGGAAATTGGTGTTTTCAACTTACGTCAGAAAAGATTCAAAGGTTTTCGACACACAAATTATCATGACTGATTTAGCTGGAAAAGATGCGAAAGTTCTATTTAGATACCCGGATGTTATCGAAGTTACGGGACTTGCAGCTGATGACGAACGGTACAGAATAACTTGCACATTGCATGCTATGTGCCCATGTTATGCCTCGCATTTATTAAACATGCTTATGATTTTTTACAGAATTTACTGGACAGATTATCTCGGTTACGCAAGCAAGATTCTCAGTTGTCGTTTCGATGGATCCGATAAAACAGAACATTACTTCCAAAAATCTTCCGAACTTCGGGATATAGCCGTCCACGAAGTATGATTTTATGATATTTGTGTTTTGCATCCATACATCGTCCAAAATCGAACTTGGAATAAATCAGATATTCACGTAGAAATGATGAAAAAAAAATCTTGCTGCTTGCAACTTTGTAATATCTTTCCAAATCACAAGGCTAACCAAGTAACTTTTTTCAAGTGAGGATATAGGATACGGAACGTTTTGAACAATCCTTAAATCTGATATTAAGGATTTAAATTATAGTTATTTTATTTTCTGTGTTTCAGGATTACATATATGTTTCTGATTCTCAAAAACGATACAATTATTTTGATTACATTCGTTATCATGTTCAAATTTTGAGGAAAGGAACAAATCAAATCTTCACATTTAGCAGACCGGATTTACCGCATGGGATTGCTATTCTAGCAGATAAGAGTTCACCAGCAAGTAAGATAAATTCGTTTTGATCGATGCATGGGTAATTTTAATATTGCCCTCAGCTTTAAAAAATAAAATTTATAGCTTACGTTTGTAATTATTAGTTCGGATCTTGTCATGAATAATCACTAGATGGCAGGCAGGACTATATACAAATTGATTACGACATTCTGTCGTATCCAAACCGCAAGCGGACAATAATGATATAAGTCAACCATTTTTTGAACACGAAATGTACATTTGGAACTTTTGTTTTTATGTTGCTGTTGTTTTTGTTGGTATTTTTCTTCTTATTTGTATGAAAATATCTCTTTTCTCATTAATTAAGCACTGGATCAATATTGCTTTGGCATTTTCAGTGGTTGAAGATTGTATTTTTCGCTAGAAGGCTATTATATTTATTAATTCAAAAATTTCTGTGAAATTCGTTTTTTGTGTGTAATTATGCCATCAATAACTGCGCACCTTGTGACGGTGTCGGTAGTCTACTGTGGCAGATTGCATTCCCGTAATTCTTCGATTTAGCCTTCGTGTCTATGATTATGAGAAATGCACCTTTGTTTTAATTAAATTTAATCCCTATACGACAAAGTTTTTTTCATATAAATTTGTATGGTGTCTATTGTTTCAGGAACTTTGGAATCAAACATTTGCGAGAAAACGTGTGGTGGCATTTGTCTTCCAAATCAAAAGGGTTTCAAATGCGTGTGTTCTCCAGGTTATAAATTGCAACCGAAAACTGGAAAATGTGTTCCAAGTGAGTCAATACTTATTTCTTAATTCAACAACAGAAGAGCTGCCTTTCTTGTTTATTTTGTGTTGTTTTGACACATAACATACACAGCTGTAAATGTGGATTAGTTTCTCTGTATTGGTCTTGATAAACATGCGCCAAAGGCTGAAGGCGAATAATGTATTAAAATTGTTATTCGAGGCGCTGACGATTTTACAAACTGCTTTCAGATATTGTCAATGATGAATATTTGCTGGCACTCGACGATGCCTCGGGTGAAGTATATCAGATTCCTTTATCTTCAAAAGGAGAGTTCAGTGTTGTTCATTTCGGTGAGTTGAAGTGTTCTATTTTATACCTTGCTTTAATAATATTTTATCCAAAAAAAATAGTTTTTTTGACATATTTTTTTCAATTTTTAGGTAAAACAAACCATATCAGCACCATGACCACAGATGTTTCCACCGGCACGGTTTATATGTATGATTCTGATACATCGGACTTCAAAATGGGAAGAGTTAGATTTGCGTTACTTAATAAAGATGCTAAACCTCTAGGATCTTCAGTAACGGGAAAAGGTAAGTAGGCTATTGCATGAATTTTCTCAAATCGTTTTATATGTTTTTTTCCGATTCTAAACTTCTACGGATTTATTTCTCTGATTTACAGTGAAAGATATAAAGTTGGATCCTGTCACAAAAGACATCTTTTATGTTAATGAAAACAACGATATTGCCTTTATGAATAGATATGGGAAAAACAAAAAAGTTATCGTTGAAAATAAAGAAACGAACTCAGACGTGAAAGCGCTTGCGGTAGATTCCAAACAAAAGTACGTCACAATGTTCTTATATTTGTATATTCAAAACATCTTTTCCAATAGCAAATTTCATATACCGGTATATATACAGATAGCACAATTATTTCATAGGAATATAAAAAAATATGGGGCTTTGTTTCTTAAGATAAACATTTAAATTTTTTTAGAATGATTTACTGGACCGACACCATGGGAGAACAGGGATCAGGTAAAGTAATTCGCTGCAGATTTGATGGAAGTGGAAAGCAAGTTGTGCTCGATAATCTTAACTTACCATATGGAATCGACATCGATTATGAAAGTACGAATATTTTTATGTTTATTATAATCGGATTTACCTTCAGAATTATTACAAGACCGCATACAAAAACCACTTTTTTGTTTAGGAAACAAGCTATACGTGATGGATTCCAAAGACGGTTCTATATACGAAATTCCTTTGATGAAACTCATTGCACCAGTTCCACTTAAAAAATACAAACGGAACGACCTCATGGAGTATTTATATTCAGAGAAATACTTTTTGACAAAGTAATTTTTTTTAATCTTTTACATGAATATAATGGTACATTGTATTAGAAGTTACAATATAACTTTTCAAATTTTAGATTGAAAGTTCATAGAGGATTCGCTTATATTTCTGATGAAAGGAAATTACATCTTTTGCGATACAAACTTGGCGCGACTGGGCCAAAGGCTTTGGTCAACTTTGGACCTTCAGTTTTCTTTAAAGCGTCCAGCTTGTCTGTCTACAGTAGATCATTTACCAGAAAATATATCAGTGAGTATATATAACACATTATAGGCTATATTTCCCTAAAACATGATATGTATTATAATACATATACACGTTTGAATGTCAGTTGATTGACAGAGAGTGTGGTATGTATCAAGTAATATGGCGTGACATGCAAAAGATTTTAATATAACAAAATCGCAAGTATTTTACGTATGCCATCTTCATATGCCTCATTTATAATATTTTATATAACTATTTTATTTTTATTTAGAACGTCTTCCAAATCCGTGCTTGCGAAAGAAATGCAAGTCTTCGTGCTTGGCGTTATCAAAGAAGAAAGCAAGTTGCATATAAAAGGCAGAAGCAAATGGATCTTAACGAAAAATTCGAATTTCAGTGATTTAGAATTATATTTAGATTTAATCCGTCAGACAATTTTTGTCGGATATTACTTTATTTTTTCAATATCGCAACTGTGTAGTCATTGGAATTATATTACCAATATTATTGTTGTTATTGATATTATTATTTTCTTTCATAGTTATTATTTTATTTTTGTTTCAATACATAAATTAAAATGACGTCAAACCAGTATTATGGGTTGAATACATATATCGTTACCTCTGATGTAAAACTGAATTTAATTTTCATCAATGATTAGTGATATATATGCGAAAAAAGGATTCTTTAATAATATTAATATTACGCTTTCTTCGTCAATCGTGAAAGAAATTTTTACAAATAGACGTGACGAATATGTCTATAGATTATACCATTTTATAAACTATGTAAGTTTTTTCGCTGATAATAGTCTGTTATTCAGATGGAGTGCGTTGGAATAATCCGTAAACAATTGTTAGTGATTTCGACTTTTGTTTTAGCCGTCGATTCATCTAGTTATTTGTTTTGTTTGGGAGTCGATAATCTTACACCGCTTTACGTGTACTAATATGAATGCAAATTTCGCAATTATGGTGTCATGTATAGTATAACGACTTTCAAACGAGTATTATATAGCGTCAATATTTGTCGTACAAAATACCAAAAACGGTGATCGTTATCTTGACATTATCTCTATTCCGGGGCGGTTTTGCTGTCCTGTATTTACATTCCTCAGAAAACTTTATACACAATTTCGCATATAATACGGATTAGGTACACGAGAAATCTTAGAGTTCGTTTTACCAGGTAAAGACGTTATTCAATACAAGTTTTACCGCAAACTCGTAAACATTGATAAAGAAAAACTTGAACAAACTAAGTAGAGGCGATTATTAGCTTGAGAACTACCACAAGACAAAATATGAAAATAAATATAGATAATTTCAGATCGCAAGCTTCATGAACACCCGAAGTATTCGGGCATACGTTGTCAAAATGTCCAATGTCATTCATGTTATTATTCCTAACTGTGATATGTGTGATTCGTCATACTTTCGAATCCCGCGTTGTTTTCTAGAAACTCCAGAATTTATCGTAATATTGCCATGACCACCAAATCAATTTTCACAAATACAGACATAACATTACGTAAAATAAAGCAGCTATGACATAACGCTGACAATACGTATGGCCTATATTTATAACTAGATAAAAATACGAATCAAGTACTTTTACTGAACGCAATCATCATGCGTGAATTCAGAATGAAAATCCAATGTGATTTTTTGTTATAAATACAATACGCAAAACGTTTTCAAAGAAAGAGCCTGATTATCGAATAAGTGGAAAAAATATTTTTATTTATTTAATGATTTCAAAACAGATTATGCCAAAAGAGTTTTCAGAACCAACTGAACATATTCAGCCTTTTAACCTATTTTGACATTTTTTGTTTTTAATGTGACTCTGGTGATTTCACCATGAACGTGTTTAATGACATACACGCCATCCAGACAAAAACAACGCGTGGTTTCGTGAATACAAGATAAAATTTCAGTAAGACATAAAGTACATTATTAACATCATAGTTCGATTCAACAGTATACCGCAAACTCGATGACGTATGCACCTCATAGGTTTTCGACTCAGATTTTTTTCCAGGAAAGATGGAAAAGCGCCTGTGTTAGATCACGAACAACAAATACCTGTAATGAGATGATTAAACTACGAAAACTGATAACATGTTACAGGCGATGAGAAAGAGTATGCCAGCAAAACCATTTGCGACGCGGTCATTTTTGAAGTCCTAATTTCTGAATTTGAGAAGTAATATGAGAAGAAGAGGAAGATCGGAAAAAACTTTCTACTGTTTCATACGTATATATATATATATATATCTACGACAAGACGAACCATGCGACATCGCCGCGAAAAACATGTCATCTCCAAATTTGTCTTGGAAAAATCTGTTCCATTCAACAAAGCAAATAGATTCGAAATTTTCTGAATACTCAACGTTATATGTGCCAGACCAAAACTGATCAAGTCTGGAATATATGATAAAATGGTTTTGTAAAATTTGTTATCAGTGATTGATGTAATTCCACAAATTTCTTTGTAACCACTATTGTAACATACTTGCTTTCCCAGTCTGTCTATAGTTGCCGTTTTTTAAATCTGATGTTTTTTTTTTCGATTTCTATTTTCTTTGAATAGTTACGAACAACTGTTTACTTATTATAACTACTTAAAATACAATATAATTCTAAGCAAAATAATGCAATACAACATGTTGGCTATAAAACTAAATCAAAACAACGCAAATGCGAACTACCAGGTGTAGCACGAGAAATCAAACAACGAACAGTAATATTAATGATTATATATTTTATAAAAACTCTTTCAATATATACATGGACCAACAAATATGAACTAAACAATACTTGTTGCCATAGATCTCGTAAACCATTTGACGAATGTATACTGAACTAAAAATGTACTGCAACATCACAAAATACAGTTGGAACGATAACATTAAAGTAACATCAAGAAAATTCAGCGTTGATTGTGCCCGTAGTTTGCAATGAGTACATTTAAACTGATTAAATACAGAATTTGGTTCCATTACATTTGAACCCACGTACATTTGAACCCATGACAATTGCACCTGCATACTATTGCACCTATGGAAATTTTTTTGTTGTACGGATAGTTGAACCCATACTAACCCTAACCCATGGGTTTCAGCACCCGCATATTGATTGAACCCGCGGATATAGACATGGGTTCAAATGTACGGTCACCACAGAATTAAATTGTCTTGTAAAAGTTCCCGCGCGTGACAAACACTATCAGCTAACACGAAATACGCCAAACTCCGACTGCGCTACAAAACTCAACTCCTGTACGACACTCGTAGAAATACAGAGCAGAAAACTGAGAAGAGTTCAGTCGCACCCTAGGTGAGAGTTAGGAGTAGGCCTATATACATTTACCAGTACGAAAGAATCGACTTGAATGCCGGAGGAAGCCAGAACCAACCAGGGGTTACGTAAACCACCTTGTAACCAGGTAATCCAGATAATATATATATAAGAAAAACATTAAGACACTAATATTTACCGCGCACGCTTTTCCGTACAATGAATGAATCGAGAAAATTTTAAAACTACAGTACCTGTTTTGTTACTTGCTCTTGAGCGCTTCTTGTGGCATATGAGAGTGAAGTCGTTGTTTTGGTATCTCCGTACTCAATTATGCAGAAAATCTGATGATATTTCATAAATTTTCGCGACTTAAATTTAACAAATATACCACAACTAAATATCCCGTAATCGATCAAGCTTTATTTTGTGACATATACAACATTTGGTCAAACTATACATTTTAATCTGGCCATTTCAGAGCTTTTTGTTTTATTTTATTTTAAATTGTCTATGATGCAGAAAAAGTGATCACACGTCATTAGTTTAGCGAGCGAACGTTAGCGGAATGAACTTCCACACGTCGTTTCTTTGGGTTGATAAAGCTATTTAACTAATAGAGAAGACGGCATGAAACGTATTTGTGCAATTTCTAAGTTTGAAGTATTTAATATTTTTCTAATATTAGTATATGCGGTCGATATCTCATCCAGCCAGATTATAAAAGATGAAGTAGTCAATATGCTCAGGGTGCACAATTACTATCGGACAAAGGTATATTGTTTTCGAAAGTGGTTTGGAGGGATTAAAAAAGACAAAGTCATATAGGCTATTCCTACTATCTTGTTACTTTCGTATAACTATTGTTGTAGATCTAATAATGCCATTCTCAAATGCTTCGAAGCATACTTCATTAAAGTTTTGTCAGCTTTATCCCTGCCGAGGTGTTGGAAATTTACATGCAATTGCAAATTACCAGGACTATTTCAGATACTGAATAAAAATAAAATAAATAGTAAATAAAATATCCACATCGCCATAATCGTTCATCATAATATAATATATATATCACAGCCTGTAATCGCAAGCATCGACATTCAAAATATTCTGACATGTTTATACAGGTGTCACCAAATGGATCAAATCTACGGATGCTCAGTTGGGACCCAGATCTGGCTGATCAAGCTCAATCATACGTTGATAAGTGTATTTATGCGCCGAGCAACCGATACAATTTTGAACCCTATGGGCTTATCGGAGAAAACATATTCATCACTAATCAAGAGCTAAGAAGTAAGCGATTGTATATATTTCTCCGTGAATAATAATGTTCATGAATCATATTTTTTTATTGTGAAGGTGTCTGACGATGTTTCGAACTGAAATTGTTCTATAGTTAGTTTAAATTTATAAATAAGCATATTATACTGTAACACACAAGCGCGTCTGTGATTACGGAGCGTATTTTTGGTTGATACTATATTTGATATGCAAAACTGAATAAATAATATTAATATTTATTTTATTTATTAAGATGTTACCATGGCAGTGGCGGATTGGTTCAGAGAACGAAACAATTATGATTACTCAACCAATTTTTGCTTCCCCAACAAAATATGTGGACGTTACACACAGGTACGATTTGTATCAAAAAAAAAAGAAGTGAGATATACATTATGACACAAATAAGTATTATAAATAAAGTATATATGGGTATATGCAAAATTTTCAAACTTTTTATCCATCCACAAGCGCCAGAATTGTCAATCCATAACTGAATGAAATTTTCTTTCAAATGTTAAACATTGGATTATATAGTTAAACTTTAAAATTTTGACAAAATTTAAAATAATATTGAAAATTAAAATATATCGTCTTTATTAGATTCCATTTAATATATATGCCGATGCCGATGTCAGAAAAAAATACAAACAATTATGTTTACATTTTTCATTGCAAGTACTTTATCATTTACCAAGTACTATCTTTATTGCACTTCAACATTGATACTGTATTCTCAGTTAGTTTGGGATACCACATATGCGATTGGATGTGGAAAGACAAAATGCAAAAATAATGTTCGAGTTGGATCAGATATTTATTTTAGACCGAGCATGGTCGTCTGCAAATACGGACCAGCAGGGAACGTGAAGCCTTTGTTTTCCAGAAAACCTCGACGCCCATACCAGTATGGAAATTGGTGCAGGTACCTGCCGTTTCCTCCACGAATAAAAACTTGAATTGAAGATAACGAAATAATGAAAGATTTTTATTAAATTTTCCGGATTGACTAGAAGGAAATTTCTGGTATACGATCAATTTCTTCCTCATACAAAGCTTGTAGACAAGGTTTTATTAGCTTACTGAGGGCTGAAATGACGCTAATTCAATTATCTTGTGTCGACTGCTGACACACGACTCGATCGAAGCTAATTCG